AGTTAGAAAGAATGTCAGAAAGAATGTCAGAAGATATGCCAGAAGATATGACAGAAGATATGCCAGATAGAATGCCAGATAATATGCCAGAAGATATGCCAGATAGAATGGCAGATAGAATGCCAGAAGATTTGCCAGATAGAATGCCAGAAAATATGCCAGAAGATATGCCAGATAGATATGTCAGAAGATATGCCAGAAGATATGCCAGAAGATATGCCAGAAGATATGTCAGAATATATGACAGAAGATATGTCAGATAGAATGCCAGAAGATATGTCAGAATATATGCCAGAAGATATGCCAGATAGAATGCCAGAAGATATGTCAGATAGAGTGCCAGAAGATATGCCAGATAGAATGCCAGAAGATTTGCCAGATAGAATGGCAGAAGATATGCCAGAAGATATGCCAGATCATATGCCAGAAGATATGCCAGATAGAATGTCAAATAGAATGTCAGAAGATATGTCAGATAGAATGCCAGAAGATTTGCCAGTAAGAAAATGTATAAATGTCATGGTGGGGATCACACGAAGTAAAGTAATTTGCAGATTCTGTGCAAAAGTGCTTTGCACAGAAAAAGTAAGCGGGGTTGCGGAGTCAGACCTGCATACCCAACTCCAATGCACTACTCTGGCAGCCTCAAAAATTGCTACTTACATGCGCGGGAGGCGGGAGGAAAATATTATGAAACATTCAAAACTATCCAATTTCCATGGGTTTTTGGGCGTTTCAATTTTTGATGACGATCCCAAAAGAACTAGGCGGTTTCAACCATAATTGGTAAACAACCAAAAGGGTCAAAATATATTAGGCGTTTGAAGATTCAGGTATATATACACATGCAAGCTGGAAAGGAGTCCTCTTCTTTGTTGTGGGGACCAAATTGTGTAATGCTTGCTGTGCAGTAGCGGACCTTGAGACCTACCCTGGAACTGATCAACGGGTGTATGGAACCCAGTGCTAAAAAAGTTCAGTACTGTTGTAAGCTGGTTCAAAGATCTGTCAATTGAAACAAACTCTATAGCTCCACTACTTTTCAAAATACACCTGGGACAGTATGACACTAGAAAGGCATAACTTTGCAGAACCTGTCATGGCTTGATTCAACTGGAGAATCCCTTGGACGAATGAGTCGGAAAAAAAACACTGCAAAACAAATTACTTTACTTCGAGTGATCCCCACCATGACATTTATCGATTTGTTACTGGCAAATCTTCTGGCATTGTATCTGACATATCTTCTGGCATTCTATCCGGCATTCTATCTGGCATATCTTCTGGCATATATTCTGGCATGTCTTCTGGCATTCTATCTGGCATATCTTCTGGCAGATGTTCTGGCATATCTTCTGGCATTCTATCTGGCATTCTATCTGGCATTCTATCTGGCATATCTTCTGGCATATTATCTGGCAAATCTTCTGGGATTCTATCTGGCATATCTTGTGGCAGCCTATCTGATATTTTATCTGGCATTCTATTTGGCATACCTTCTCGCATTCTATCTGGCATATCTTCTGGCATTCTATCTGGCATATCTTCTGGCATTCTATTTGGCATATCACATGGAATTTTATCTGGCATATCTTCTGGCATTCCATCTGACATTCTATCTGGCATATCTTCTGGCATTCTATCTGCCCGTTGAGGTCCGGCAGTGCCCACTGCGATCTGGAAGTCGCGGTTGAGGTCCGGCACTGGCCACTGCGACCTGGAAGTCGCGGTTGAGGTCCGGCAGTGCCCACTGCGATCTGCAACTCGCGGTTGAGGTCCGGCAGTGCCCACTGGGATCTGGAGCTCGCGGTGGAGGTCCGGCTGTGCCCACTGGGATCTGGACTGCGAGGAGGAGGCGGCGGGTGATGAGGCGGAGGAGGCAGAGGAGGCGGAGGAGGCGGAGGAGGAGGAGGAGAACAGCTCTGATAAAATCTAACAACCCTCACCTGGCAGGTGGGGAACAAGTTCTCATCTCAAGCTGGGCCCACCTAGTTATTGGAGTTGGTTTGTAGGTCCCATCAACTATTGTAAATTATTCATATTTACCACAACTTAAAGTACTTGTAAACAAACTTATCCACTTCGATGAGGACACAGTTGTTTAAACTGCCAATCAGCGCTGGTTAGCAAGTCATTATCCCATTCTAGATCAACCGCCCACGAAAATTATTAGACATGGGCAAAAGGTACGACCAAACAAATTGCATATCCATTTTGATTGGGTAGGTTGAGGGTCCCAGGGTACCAGGGGTTTAGAAACTACAAACCATGCCCTATCCACCCAATAACTCACTTGGGCGGCACACTCAAGTCTCCGTGGCCGAGCATCGCTCCAGGGCGAGTTTCTGCAGCAGCACTTCCGGGATCAAATCAAGTCGCCAGACGCACAGATCACCTGCGTGGGCGCACAGATCTGCAGCCGGAGATCACAGCCGGAGATCTGGGTTTCAATGGGATTTCACGGAAGAACTTGTGGCTTTTGACCGTTGAAATATGTCAAAACATGTCAACACATAGGGAACTAGACAATCAAGATTGATTGTATGGGTTTGGTTTAAAAAAAAAAACATGGGAAATCACTGACGTGTCCATGGGTTGATCATTTGCACGACATACCAATTGCCATTGCGGTGGGGAACACACCGACGTATGAACGTGACGATGCACAACACAAACATACCAATTTCGATGGTAATGACGATGACGATGACGATGATGACAATGATGACGATGACGATGAGGATGACGATGACGATGACGATGACGATGATGATGATGATGATGATGATGATGATGATGATGATGAGAGTAATACTAATAATTATTATATATGTTATTCTTATGTTGCTATTGCTAGACGTATGTCATTACTGTTTGTTTTTAATTTACTATTGTTAATTGCATATGTCAAGTGCTAATACTAAAGAATATTAGCAAATGATAGTGTCATTGTCATCACTATGTGTATTATTGTTACGATAAACATTCATAAAGTCAGTACTGAACCGAACCTACCATTTGAGCAGCTTTATAGTACCTATTTATCATGATTTTGGAGATTACTTATTTTGGGGTTACCACATATAGAGTTTCTTAAGTCATTCCAAAATATGGGTGGTGTTCTACTGCTTTACTAACATCAAAATATAATTTAACAAAACTATGGAAAATGGCTCAATTATAGATGATTTATATTGATTTATGATGATTTCATATGATTTCCCTATAAAACAGGCTGATCCTCCAGTTCGCTACGTTTTTTTTTTTACCAGAGGCTATCATGTTTGGTTGGTTAAATCCCACTCTCCAGTGATTTCTGGTTGGTAAGCCATGGTACCCGGCCTGGTAAACATACAAAAAGCTATTGAAAATTGCCATTTATAGTGGATTTACCCATAAAAAATGGTGACTTTCCATAGCTTTTTGTTGGTTTACCAAAGGGTAAATCCTTCTGGATTCCACCGTTTGCCGAAGCTTTGCAGCCGCAGTCCGCACCTCATGCCGATGCATCGTTTCGCGTGCCGTGGCCAGGCAGCGCGGACAGCCGGGACACGCGACGGCAGCGGCCAAGAAAATGGCTTTTGTGATTGGTTTTGCCTTGTCTTACCAGGTTTCTATATGTGTATTATATGATGTCAATTTCGGTTCTACTGGTTTTGGCTTAAGTCTTGATAGGATGGTTCAAATTTTATGATGGTTGAATGGTTGTTGAAGTTGTTTTCAATATCTTTTAGCCGTGCTTTAAAGATTGTCGAACATATATGCTGATCCATGGACAGGACCTCTTTGGTAAGTCGTTAAGTTCTGCTCATTCAATGCGCTGACGACTTGACATGGCTTTGCTTGTATTGTCATAATCTGTGTTTGGCAGCTAAACATGAAATGGTTTGCGGTCCCACTCTTTGGTCTTTACATGACACATACAAACCATCTCTATACATCACAGGTCCAGTTACTTGTTCTAGTCCTGAGTGCCCTTTGGGATGGCTTTCAAGATAGGAATTAGTTGGTTTATAACTCCATTAACTAGGATGTATGGTGGATATCGGATACTTGATATATCCACATGTTTTGTATTATAAACCGACATATAATATAATATAGTATCTTATACTTCGGGGACTTTGTACTTGTGCTGGGATGTGGTTCTGTTCATTTTTGCAGGAAGACAAAACAAACAAAAACACATATCCCAAATGCACGTCGCATTTCGTTAGAAGAAACTCTGCTAACAAACCAACGCGACTGTGACCCAAACCCTTGTGCCCCCTGTGGATTCAAATGCCTTCTTAGAGTTGGTACTTGACCGCCCAAATCACTTACTGAGAATATTGGGAACAAAAAAACAATCTATCCCTATAGTTATTGGTACAGTAATCCCACCATTAAGATCATTAAATTCATTCAATCCCTTGTAGCCACCCCCTTGGGCTTGGAGGCCTAGACTCGCAAATTTGGTCTGAAAATGCCGGAGTCGACCTTCCTATGGCAATGTTTTCTGGCAATCACGAGGCTTTAAACTACCATTTTTTTTGATCTTTTTGGGGGCCAACTTCATCTCAGGGGAATATGGTGAAAACAAGAACAGAAACTTGAAACTAGGTCACATTGTTAGCCCATCAACATCATCAACTGCCAACGGATTTCCCCAAAAATATCCTCAACCTGATTTCCTTGAACTTGAGGCCATGAAATTCAGGCCATGTTTAGTCGCTACATTTGCTTAAAATGACTGGTTGCATCCCTACATGTTGCCTCTAAACCTTCGAATATTCCCTGAAATTGTTGGTGAAATCCCAATGGGCAGTAAATTCGCATTTCCTCCGACAAACTTATGGTGATAAGTGTTTTCTGTACCTTCAGCAGAGAACATCAATTTCCATTACCTGTGACTCTAAAAGTAGTTCCTTCTGTGCCAGATGGTTCTTCCCTTGTTTCGGTGGTTTTCCCATCGCCCGTGGTGTTTCTTTGGGTGCCACCAGTTCCTGCTCGGTGCTTTTCTCCTTCGGCTGTTCTGCTGTCGACTGAATATGGCCACCTCCCAGAAGGCTGGAGGTTGGTGGCGCTGGGAGGTTGGAATGATGGACAACTCATGGAATTTCATGGGCATGACGTGTGGTCCCACCTTGGCAAGATCTATCTGCAAATATCTTTGACATTCTGTGTGGCGTCCAACCTTACAGTCATATTTTGACATACTATAATTGATATACCCTCTGGTTATGACTAACAGTTCGCCATGGTATAGATGGCCCATAGAAATAGATGGTTTATCTATTAAAAATGGTGGATCTTTCCATGGCTATGTAACAGTCATAACCAGATGGTATTCAGTTCGGATGTCATAGGGCCCCAGTGTGTGGGTGATGGCTGGGTTGGCTGCTTCTTAGTCTCCAGGAAGTCTTGTTAAATCTGTTGCCCTCTGGTAAACATGCAAAAAGCTATTGAAAATGGCCATTTATAGTGAGTTTTCCCATGAAAAATGGTGATTTTCCATAGTTATGTTTACCAGAGGGTAAAATCTAGAGACCCACCGGGCCTGCGGCCTGGGGAACTTGGAAATAAAGAAATCAGGATGGAACTCGCTGGAAATGTTCGTAAAAAGCTGGAAACAGGTGGACAAAAGACATTGGACTTGCTGAATGGGTCAAGTTCTCTTGGATTTACTGACAGCCCGAAAATATTCTTGCATCACCGTTGATTGGCGAAACCATCACCTTTTATCTGATGGCTTCACCCCATCCCATCATATCTATCTATGTATGTATATATATATATATATATAATGTATAGATATCTATCCCATATTAAAATCCATCAAACAATCCACAGTTGATGATTTTCCCCACTGGAGATATGATGATTCAACTCCAATCAACATCCCATTTTTATGAGGTTTTTGTGGTCTAATGTCAACCACGGATTAATAAACCATGGTTTATTAATTGGGAGGGTATTCCCCCAATAGTCATAATCCGATACTTTTTATGCTACCCTCCCAATAGTCATAATCCGATATTTTTTTATGGTACCCTCCCAATTCAACAACCGTAAACGTGGTTTATTCATCCAGGGTTGACAGTAGCCACCATCCTCCATCAGCGGCACCTCATCGCTTCTTCTGCTGCTGCCAGCCGCTGGACTCCTCTTCCGTGCGGGCGGCCTCCGTCTTCTTCCTCGGTGGCGCCACGTAGCGTGGGTTTATCAGGTTACCATGGGAAAACATGGGGATTCAAGTGGGAAAATGGGAATGTTATTATGGGTATTGTGATATATATATATATACACATAATATATTCAGTATGTATATATATATATATGTAGATATAGATATGTCATTTGACCATCATGAAAGTGACGGCGCCCAAATAATGTTTGGGCGTATTTAGGGCTTCTTCACCATCTCTCATTTGGACTGCGTCACCTTTGGGGGGTATCAGTGGGGATGATCATCCCAAACATTCTTGGCTTTGAACATTGGGGGAACATGATGTTGTCTCGGGGACAAGCCTAACCTTTATATGGGAAAATATGGTGAAGAACATAGGGAAATAATAGTTATAGCACGTTGTAACTGTGAAGACTACTGAAGGTCATCAACATTCCCAATCTAAGGTTTCCCTCTACCCCTGCAAAACCCATGTTTCAATAGCACATCCGTTCAACAAAAAAGCTCTCCTTATCCCAGTCCACTACCACCATGTTGCGTAAATCCTCATCGCTGGTGAAAGCAACCAACATTTCTTGGTGAAACACCGGTTAAACATGGTCAAACCATCTATAAAATCAATCATCTCCCAGTATTCAAGGTAAATTCTCCCAAAATTCATGGTAAATCTGTGTAAATATCAGTTCACATAAATCGCCCTAGACCATCTGGTCATACCCAGCCATAGTTCGATGATGTTCCGGCCCTCCGTGGAACTGATGGCACCGAAGGGTAACAATCAACATCCTACAGGATGGGGCCCCCGTTGGATAGCCTTCAGTTGCCTTATTTGTGTGGCTGAATGAACTATGGTTTATGGTAGATAGAACTATCCCATTGGTGGTTTCAACCTCTCTGAAAAATATGTGTCAGTTGGGATGATTATTCCCAATATATGGAAAAAAAACATCATGTTCCAAACCACCAACCAGCTATAGTATTCATGGGGGTTTTGTTATGGTCTATAAACCAACTTATCTAATTTTAATCCCATTTTAGATCATTTTAGTGTCCCATGATCATCCCATTTTTCTGTTTGGTCCCCTTGAAATTCCCTCCGACAATCCCTATTCTTGATGGTTACATCTCACGACATCATGGGTTCAGTCACCAACATTCTAACCTTAAAAATCTTCGACAATCATAGTCCATTCATCTTGCCCATGATTAAACCCATCACTATGTCATCATGAAAAACCATCATGAAAAACGATCCTGAAAAACCAATAATTAGACCAATATTAGACCAAATGATTTCATGATTCAGCAACCTGAATCTTGCGGCCAGCTATGGGGATGATTCCTCTAAAATACTCTATGATTCCAAGGTTCGGGAGAACAACCAATTTCGGTGGTGTTCAAATTTACCAATATTACCCTCTGGTAAACATACAAAAAGCTATGGAAAATGGCCCATAGAAATAGATGGTTTACCTATTTTTCAGATGGTGATTTTCTATAGCTATGTTAAATTACCAGAGGGTAACCATCATTAGAACAATATTAGACCAATATTAAGCCTGCCATCCCAACACATGTCGCAGCTCCAAGCGGCTGCAGCTTCTTCTCCTTGGCCAGGCGCGCCTTCTCCTTGCGCGCCTCGCTCTGCTCCTGTCATGGCATCCCCGTGGATTAAGTTATTATGGAAACAAGGGGCCGGTATTTAACCTTACAGTAATTTAAACCAAACAGAAATGATATAAGAACCTGTATATAATTGTATATATATATCATATATAACATATATATATATATGAGTGAAATCCATTCTAGTTATATTCGTAAAATGTGAAATCAACCCACTTAGCCGGTGAAACATGGCTAGAAAATCCATCAATGGAGGTTTTAATGGGAAAGATATGGGAAGATCAAGTATCAATGGGAGGTTTCAGGGGCCATGTTTGATTCCCGGAGGCCATGACGTTCAAACATGGGACTTCCTGGGAGATCTAACCAGATATCCAATTTGGGATCCAATTGCTTGCCATTTTATAATGGGGAAAATATGGGAAAAATTGAGATTTTTAACATGACATGTTAGGACACCCCCTATTTTCAGATGAACCCACATGGTCATTGTGCAAGCAAATTGATGATTCTAAGTTCTAAGTACGTTTCCGCACATGTTGCTTAGATTGGATTCTACCCACAAAAACGCATGGGGGTTTAACAACAAGGGTAAGTTTCACCAACAAAATTGGGGATCAACTCGTAAAAACTGACTTCAAAGTGGTTCAACAGAATTGATACTGTAATTGGTTGAAGAAAACAAATGGAGGACAGCCCCCAACAAAATTGAATGGGACAAACCCCTGGTTTCATGGGTTCCCTTTAACAACATCCATTTTCTCAGGGCCATTGAGGCTCTCCGACCAAGTCTTTGATGGGATAAGCCGCTAAGCCTTTGAAACACCAGAACATGGTTGCTTAAATGGCATCAACAGCTCATTTTTCATGCTCCAATCTCCATAGTTGGTTGTTAAAACATTGTTTTAAAACAATAATGTTGGATTCTCAAATGCCAATTTTTGATTGTTGTACAAATCACCATGCTATTGGCCAATTTTGATTGCTCAATTCTCACTTCCTTGCCTGAAGAGCCTTTTCCTTCATCTTCTCAGTCCTGAGCGCTGTACATATTTGGCCTTGTCAAACGGGAGACAAAAAATGAGCTATCACGTTCTATCACGTTCATTATCCCCGCAGTATCCCATCACTATCCCATCATTATCCCCTCCTTATCCCATCATTGAACAATCCTTAAACCATGGGATAATGAGGGGGATAATGATGGGATATCCCAGGATAGTTTAATGATGGGATAATATTAGCGCTGTTCTATGACGTTCTTAATCTCAGCTAGCTACTTGGATCTGCATCGGAGGTGGAGCCATATTCTCACCCAGTGCATCCCAGTTGCGGAATCCCAATTGTTTGATGCTAAATCCCCCATGAAAACGGGGATGGGTTAAAACATGTTAAAACCTATGAATTCACATGAATTCACCATTTTAGACCGGGTGAATCAACATCCGTAAATAGCAGCCATTTATGAAAACAGCAACACATACGATGCAGGGGAACCCAAGGCCCCAAGTAGTGACACCAAGAGGTGATAAGTCTGATAAGTTTCAAGCCTCCGATGGCTTATCCCACTGGTTGGCAACCAGGTTATGTGTATATATATAATTATATATATATATATCCACCGATCTTTCAAAAAACTGACTTACATCATGTTACATCCAGTTGTTGTTGTTGTTGTTGTTGTTGTTGTTGTTGTTGTTGCTTTAAACAAATACTAACGCAAACATCCAGTTGAATATGATGGTTTCCTAAAATAGAGGTACCCCCAAATCATCTATTCGAGCGGCTTCTTGGAGTGAATCGCCTCCACCAGCACGCGCTTGTTCTTGTAGCAGTTACCTCAGCCAAGGTAAAATGGCAGGTTAGGAAACAAACAAAGCTGATTGAAGTTACTCCATTCCGGCCATTCGATGTTTCACCCGGACTTTTTTTAAAATATCATTCTGGCTGAATCTTAGCAAAATACATTCACTGATCTGAAAATCAAGGGGAACATGAGGCAATTTACTTAAGAATTATCCAGGTGAGTGGATTGAAATCATCAATAATTCAAGATACCCTCTGGTAAACGTTTACATAGCGAACTGGAAAATCACCATCTGAAAAATAGGTAAATCATCTATTTCTATGGTCCATTTTCAATAGCTACTGTATGTTAAATTACCCGGGAGTAATGATAGTGGGATATCTATATAATATTGGGAACATGTGGGATACTTATGCTGAAAAAAATGTGCAATGATATACCATGATAATTATTGGGATGATAATGATTGGAATATATGATATATTATTGGGATATGTAATCGTGGAAAAAATGGGAGAATGATATCTGTTGGAAACACATCGGGAGGATTATCATATTGGTGGTACCCCAGTTCGTTTGCTAAGTTGGTTGAAATAACTGACGCAACTGTTGGTAGATACATCATATATATATATAATTTTATATAATTAATATTAATTAACGGAGTTTGCACCGGTTTGTAGGGTATAACATAATGAACCTCTACCACGTCCTACACTTCCTACACTTCAAAAGCAACCAACCAGGTCAGTGTTTCATTGCTTCAGTATCACTTCTCACTTGGTCCAGCGGTCCGATTTCAAGTTGATCCGGATTCTCAACTTAAAAAAAAATCATCGACTTTCGCAAATTTTGCCGAACCATGGCACCCTTGGCATGGCGGTAAAAGAAGTGGTACAGCTGCTTATCGATCTTCTTCTGCTGGCGGTACTTCCTCAACAAACGTCGCCTCAGATGGCCGCCATTGGATTACTGGTGGGATTCTCTGGTTCTTTATGTATGTATACACCATATAGTTTAGATATGTTATCATATGTATGTATATATATACAATACAGTATATACCACTAAGATTCCAAGATACTCGTCGATGTAAACGTATACAAATACGCCTTTTCCAAACGGTTTTTGTTGGATTGAAAGAAACACAGATCATATGTCATATTGTTCACCCTATGGGAGACTCGGCAGAGATGTCACCAATCTACCCCCAAGTCGGTCGATGTCATTTATCAACCGGTTGCACCCTGCTTTTGGCTCCACAGAAATCACATGTTTTCACAAATTTTTCGACAGAAAAAGTCAACTTAACCATTGATCATCATTGATCTTTCAATCAAATCTGTAAAACAATATCCTGAAAAATCAGGTTTTTCTTCAGCACCGAGTCTGTTGAAATCACGTGGTATACCGAGTGACAGCACTCGCTGACGTCGCATCCACAGCACCTTGGTGGGCATGCGCGCCTCGCGTGTTCCCTTGCGCTTTCCGGTGCCTCAGTGGTCCCGGAAAAAGTTGGGGAAAAACCATAGGAAAAACCATAGGGAAATGGGGATTTCATGGGATTTATAGCTGATTTATGATAACTAAGTTGGTTTATGATTACTTCAATAACTATATGACTATATGGTTTATGATACCTATAACTATAGTTTTCATGGGTTTTATAAAACAACAAGCCTCAAGCATAACTGGGGGCCCCCACATTGAATCACATGGTATATGACATGGTACTGGTATAACATGGTATAACATGGTATAACAGACTTATGAAGCATTGAACTAACTCCATGGCCAATCGAAGGTCTTGCTGACTGTCACTGTTAGGATAGAGCATGACACATCACACGGAGATTTCATCAATTTTAGACATTACTTTGGGACCAAAGAAGTAGGATGCCAAATGGTGGAAAGAGATGTTAAGCAATACGCAGAGAAGTCTTTACACAGAGAAGCTTTTAGACGCAGAAGCTTTTACACACAGAAGCTTTTGCACAAAGAAGTCTTTACACAGAGGCGCTTTTACACGAAGTGGAAAGTTGAAATTGGCAGCAATTCTTTCGGGAAAACCCTTCGCAGGAGCTTTCGGGAACAAGCCTTCCCCACTTGCTCCAAGAAAAAAAAACAGTTCCATGATGCAAACAAATTACCTGAATTAAATTGAGTCGCAAACAAACATGGTTGGACTAACGAGCATTGACCATTATTCACCATCAATCCTGGTATCTTTGGCCGGCCCCGCGCGCGCAAGAAAGGACATGGAAGGCCAGGACTCGGACTCGGTCACAGTGAGGTCGTGATCACCATGAGGGTGAAAAAACCCGCCAAAAACAATGACCATCGATACATTCTGAGGTGGAAGTCCCCAATCTGACGCCGCTCCAAATTCCGATACTTAGTAACTGGTTAACAAATATGTAACATACATTTTAATATAATATTATATAATATACTATAATATAATATAATATAATATAATACAATACAATACAATACAATATAAAAAAATAAAATATAATATAACATAACATAATATAATATAACATAATATATAATAATATAATATAATATAATATAATATAATATAATATAATATATAAAATATAATATAGAATATATAATATATAATATAAAATATCATATAATATAATAAAATAAAATAAAATATAATATAATATAATGTACTATAATATAATATAATAAAATATAATATGCTATAATATAATATAATATAATATTATAATATATATATATATTTATATAATCCTAGTCACTAAGTGTCATACATGGCGTTGCGCCCGTATCAAGATATAATATGATATCATAAGTAGATAGTAGCTTATAACACCTTTTAACTACAAACCAGTTTCAAACATCAATTCAGAGTTGTTTCTGGATGCTTCTTTTTCTCCTACCTCCCCCACCAATACCCGTTGCGCGCCCAGGGTGCCCATGTGTCGTCCCTTGCGCTTGGCTTCCAAGTTCTTGCGCACGCGCGAGCGCGAGTGCATGGTCACTGCCTTGCGGATGATCAAGCCATCCTTGATCAACTTCCTGACAGGTCGACCGGATTTCGGGCAGAATTTGCTACGGAAAACCAACCAAAAGTTGGGAAACATAGTGACAGATAGTAACGGAACCATAGAAAATGGGAAGATCATGGTAATGCTTGAATTACACTATTTCACCAACCTGAAGTTAGGTGATCTTGGGGTCAGTCCCTGTACGATCATAGTGACATCGGCTTCTGACCAAATGGGCCCAACATTTAGGGGTGGTTCCCGAAAAATGGGGAGATCACAAGCAGACTGGCCAAACATTCATGGATTTTCAACTTTTAGACCAAGTGTCTAATGAAACAGGGAAAACATGGGGAACAAGCCAGCCCCAAAAACTTGAATGATCAACAAAGATTGATAATTCACTCACCAGCAATGTGTTTTGAATAGCAAAAGACATGGGGACTTTCGCTACAGCGGTGAAGTGGGAAGTCAGCCATGACAATTGGAGGTCCTTGAAGAACAAGGATTCAACGAGGAAACGTGGGAATTTAACATTCAACAAGTTCTACAATTCTGGACCACCTGTTCTGGTTGGTGGTATACCTACCCCTCTGAAAAATATAAGTTCGTCAGTTGGGATGATGAAATTCCCAATATATGGGACAATAAAAGCCATGTTCCAAACCACCAATCAGTTATTTATTAATATTCCATTACCAGAGGGTTAATCACCATTAAATCACCATTAATATCACCATATGATAAATAGCAATACACCTGGTGTTTACTACTGTAGTTACGTAGTATATCCCTCCACAAATTCACGCAATTCCAACACAGACATCGGAGTTTTTTGAGCCAACATAAAACAAATGTATATCAGAAATCAATAGAAATGCCCAGTTCAATCCATTCTTAGTGGTCAAAAATAACATATTCAGTGGCCATCAGCTATAGATCCAAATCTCTTGTGCTTAAATCCCCTTGTGTACATCCCAAGTCATTGATCCCACAATCTTAATGATTTGGAAACATACGTTGGTTACATTTAATTACTAACAAATGTGTATAAATATCTAACAATTGCGTACATCGGACGTACTTGATTCCATTTCACAAATCATAATCAGCATTGTTTAGTGTTCATCCCATCTAAAAACAAAACGTTTGATTGTGCCAAACAAACATTTGTGAGATGGGATGAACACTAAAAATATCCGGAGACCAGGTCCTGATGTTGAAGCGCGAGTTGGCCATCGACAGCTCATTCGTCTCATTGGGATCCATCCTAAAGACGACGAAAACACCGAAAAACAGGGGGACCGACATCAACAAAAATGGAGGCAGCACTTGATTAGTAAGGTTATAATATGTTATATGATATATATATATATATACCTATTGCTATATATATATATATTGGTATATATATATATATATTTGGTATATATATATACACTTCTAAAGTGAAATATTGGTATTTATAGATATACTGTATAAATATATATATAGTATATCTATAAATACCCACATGTCATATGTCACTTTAGAAGTTAGGAAAAATAGCGATATACAATGATATACATCATTATATCATCATTACAAAGTCGCTTTTTTTTGTGTATGTTTAATGCATGCTTTGAGGGTGAGTGTCAAGTTTCGCCAAGTTACAATTGATGGCACTGGAGAATCCTCCATTCATAGACGATGGTCCCAAAAATAAGTGGCAATTCTGAGCGAATTTCCCGTTGCTATGTTTGATTACCAAAGGGTCTATTCCCAGTTGTTTTACCATCTGGTTATTTAACATAGCCATGGAAAGATCCACCAGTTTTAATAGGTAAACCAGCTATTTCTATGGGCCATTTCCGATGGCTATGTTTATCTCATAGTGAATGGCTTTTCTACAAGTCACTCACGCGTCAGCTCCATGAAACCCAGCATCGAGTGATTGTCCCTGGGGCTCCACACCAAACACGCTTCTTGCCTCAGCGTTTTCCGTGTGACGCCGCCATGGAGATGGGGGGTTCCATAGGGATACCCCCAATAGCTGGATGGTTTATTAGGGAAAATCCCATGAACATTGATGATAACTGGGGGTACCCCCATGAGGAAACCTCCAGATATATGTTTGGGGCTTTCCAGGCTCTGAAACCGAGATCCCAAGAATGGGTTTTCTGCCCAGCGGCCACATCCCAAGAGGGAGGCTGCAAGCCTCTTTTGCAACTTCAACGACATGGCGAGTGTCCGGAACACCACAGGCGGAGCAGATCAGCCAAAATCGCCTGCGGTGAATGGCGGTGAATGGCGGTGAATGGCGCTCCTTTTTGTGAAGGGGGTCACACGCAAGTTGCTGGGTGGTATACCTACCCCTCTGAAAAATATGAAAGTCAGTTGGAATGATTATTCCCAATTAGATGGGAAAATAAAAGCCATGTTCCAAACCGTTTGCTGGACACCATCGAATAGTACTGTATTCAGTTCTGCAGGGTTAGATACTGCGTGAAGTCAACTTGCCAAACTTGAATAGAACCTTTCTGCTGGCACCTCCACAGAGGTTTAGAAGTTGAAGATTCTGGAAGGCCCTACAGCATTCTTTGCTAGCAAGATCAAGCAAGTGTGATGATGGAGAGACCTTCACCGATCCCACAATCACTTCCCACATTTGTACACCCAGCTACAGTGTGCTGAGTGGAACTGGGACAAGCAATAGACATCAAAACAAGTACAACGAATCTTCTTAGACCCTCCAAATACCACCACAAATGGAAAACAAACACTAAAATCAGGGCGTAATACACCATTTTTATGGGCACACACAGAGGGTCTGGAAAATTGAAGATTATGGACGTACTAAACACTTTACTAAACTATCCATCGAAAGTTTAACCCTGAAGCAGCATGCCCTGCAATGCTCCAATGGTGCCTTATGAGGGGTCGCCTCGTTGAATTCAACAAAAAATCTGAAAAACACATCGACACTTCATCTCTGGAATTTTATTCAATGGCCATCCTATTGATGATTTGTCACCAAAATTACTTCCAAATAGTGACAATTTTCTGTTTATAATCCATTATTATGGTGATCACTATAATCCAATTGTGATGATTACCATTCATCAATAGTACGTCACAATTATGGATTATAATATATTAATTAATATATATTATAATTACCATTCATTTGGATTCCAATAGAATTTTCCATCCAAATGATTGGACCGTATAGCACTTGCCATCCCTCGTCCACTTTTTCTCCAGCTTTGGTGCTCCAGTGCTCTGGTGCCGTAAAGGCCCCAAGAACCTCACTTTCTCACCTTCCAGCGCCTGAAATAAGCGCGGCCGCATTTGCAAAGCAGGCGATGTCAGCATGGAAACAGTGGAATGGAATATATAAGGTCCAATCATTTGGATTATACAGTGGAAAATTCTATTGGAATCCAAATGAATGGTAATTATAATCCATAATTGTGACGTAATAATATAACAATGTGATGGGATGTCATGAGATATCATGGTTTTTTACAGATTTGTTATGTGGTAAAAGGTTATTTCACCAACCAAACATGCTGGTTTATAGAAAGTAAAATAATTCAATGGACGGAACTATTTATAGGAATTTATTCGAAAGAACGGTTCCTTACAACAAGACAAACATGTGGTCATCTGGCTATCATCCTACGCCTGGCTAGCATCCCAATGGACATCCAAACTAATCACCATATGGGGGTTTCCTGAATCGGTACCCCAATAGCTGGATGGTTTATTTTATGGAAAATCCGAAAATAACATGGATGATGGATGATGATGGATGGGGTACTCCTATTTCAGGAAAGCTCCATAGACATCCCCAAAAGGATCCAAGTACCTTCTCCTTCTTAGGAAGTGTTTGGGGTATATTTTACTATCATTTGGGGGGTTAAGTATGGATAAGTACCTTCTCAGGAGGTGTTTGGATCAGGGATCACTATACATCAGTAAGTACATCACTATATACCCTCTGGTTATGACTAACAGTTTGCCATGGAAGCCATGGCCCATAGAAATAGATGGTTTACCTGGGTTTACCTATTAAAAATGGTGGATCTTTCCATGGCGAACTGTTAGTCATAACCAGATGGTATACGCTACACCTATCCGTCACGAAGTCTCCAGTCATCTCAATGGCAATCACGGGCGCCTTCCCCTCCTCCTGACGCTTCAACTGTCGCCTGTGGAGGTTTGTTCCAGTCGAGACTCGTATCCTTTCTGGATTCCTGGTATATGGAAATGGTATATGTATCCATTGATACCATATGTATGATCTTCAATATATATATATATACCCATTGATATCCTTTTCATGCAAATCAAAGTTTTGAGTTCTATCATCCACAATAACTCGCCACTCTCAGGGTTTTGCTGAATGAATATAAATTGTGAATAAATTACAATAGTCGCCAGCCTGAAATGAGGCTGGGGAAAGGTACCCTAACACTAACCATCATTTACTCAGGTGAGGTCGACGTTGCAGTGAGGTCGTTATACTTTACTCCGTTGCCTCTTCAACCCCGTTGCCACTATCCCAGACTAAAGAGGATCTGGGTATCGTTTTCATTCATTTTGGGGGGTAAGAAGACGGCATTTAGATCCATAGGTATATATGTAGTTCTGTGGTTCTATTTAACTAATTCTATGTAGATATGGAGAATCAAATAACCTTATATGTTGAAATAAACCATACATAGATAAGTATATCGGGAGAACGTGTTTGGTCGCCCCAATGCTTTTGCTGACTAGAATGCGCTCAGTGTGTATACAGTTGAACACGAACATTATTAGGGGGCTTGTGAAACGTGCACAACTTCTGTGACAGTGCACACGTGCACAAATTCTGTGAAACGTGCACGATTGCTGGGAAACGTGCACAACATCTCTGACACGTGCACATATAGAATACTTGAAAACACTGGATGGGGGCGGTGAAACACGTTATACCCACGTATATATATATATATTATATCATATTCATCTAATTACATATTGTATACGTTGTTATGCATTAACTATAAATCGCTATGATTCATCTTTGTTGTGTATTGCTTTGTATTACTATTATAACTATAAGTCATCATTATACATGTTCATTCTCTGGTTGGTGGCATACCTACCTCTCTGAAAAATATGAAAGTCAATTGGGATGATGACATTCCCAATATGTGAACAAATATTTTCCAAATGTTCCAAACCACCAACCAGTATCATGGTCATTTATAGTGGATTTACCCATTAAAAAATTGTGATTTTTCCAACCAGTAAATGGTGTTCATTCCATTACCAGAGGGTTAATCACCATTAAATCACCATTAATATCCCCATTAAACCACCAACCAGGTGTATTGCTATTTATCATTAGACTATATCAACAAAGTCCCCTTCCCTCGGCGCAAGGGCCGGGCCTGTTGTGCTTCTTCGCCAGGTCATCGAAGAACACCTGGCGCCTGAAGTGGGACCCCTTTTTGGAGCCCAGCCGGGAGCAATTCTGTGAGTTTTGTTCATCCAGGGTCTATAATCTTTAGTGAAAAAAACTCACAGAATTATAGAATCTACTTATGATTGTAAACTTATTCAAGAACAAAACAACATTCAGAATAGGTTCATAAGCTTTAGTGAAACTGGGGCAAATTAAAGATAACATAAAATAAATAAAACTTACTGGTGTCCATATGTTTTTTTGAGTTGTTGAACGGCTTGGAACGCTTTAACCGATCTTAAGAGATGCTAGATCCCTACAAAATCCATCCCATTTCATACATCTCAGCATCTGGTAGATAAATCCTCATTTTTAGTTCTTTGCTCACCATCATATTATAGTTCTATACAATCACCCCAATCATAAACCTTAGTTAACCATAGTTAACCTAGTTATGAACCAAATTACGATCGTTTGCGGTTACCCTCCGGCAACGTGGCTGGGCAAGTCCCCAGCTCTAGGTGATTTTTCCAGCTAGAAACCTCCAAGCCTCATCTCGACCTCCTGCAGCTTCGCTTGCTGCTGGATGGGCAATTGCACTCCTTTCGGCGACGGAGAATTGAAATCCAGAACAAAAAATGGGATGTGAAACATGTTTTTTTTACCACTCAAAATTGGGATTTATAGATATTTAATTATAGTTGATCTATGATGATTTGATACTTGTTTTGACCATTTTTACCCATAGCAACTAGTTTTTGCGTACATTATTTCTTGTGTTTTGTATACATACTTAATACTTGTTTGGGATGGTATTAGAAGTGAACTAGAAAAAACATATGAAACAACATCCTTGGCAGTTTGTGGAGAATGTACGAGGGGCAAAGTTATCCGAGTTATTTTTTCAGCCACACCAGGGGAATGTGGGTAACGTAGGCCTCACAAGATGGGACTGCTGGAAAACCCCAACTCACATCTGTGCTGTCACATCTGGACGTTGAAGTTGCTAACAGGGATACTAGCTAATACCGGGTGGTACCGGTACCCTTTATAGCGATGACTCTATCTGCTCAACGCAATTACATGCAACTACGCAATATATATATATAATTATATATATAATTATATATATATAGCTTCAAACTGAACTGGTTGGTGGATTCAACCCCTCTGAAAAATATGAGTCAGTTGGGATGATGACATTCCCAATATATGGAAAAATAATCCATTCATGTTCCAAACCACCAACCAGTGAACCATTCATGTACAAATTCCTTCCATGGAATGCTTGAGACATCCCCTTGATCCAGTGATTTGGGCGATGGCCGCAACGGGTTTCCCAACGCGCAAAGCGACTTGTAGACATCCCTCGATGCCTGGCAGGGTCAAGATTTGAAACCAATGGATTTCTTTAGGCAAATCATCTACTATAAATGGGCCATGGCTTCCAGTTCGCAAACTGATAGTCATATATAGTCATGACCTGAGAGTATAACATACTGTATCCCTCCATTGGATGACATAAACACCATGATTCCCCTACCATTCACCACTTGGTAAAACCCCGGTTTGTCGCGCCTCAAGGTAGCCATCATCGCTGATAAACTCCATGGCGCCATGGAGCACATGGTTTTGGGTCAACACCTACAGTAAATAGAACAAATATAGGTTAGCTTAGGGAGTAGGTCATCATTTGGGGGGTTTCCTAAAATGGTAACCTAAAACCATTCGTTTCAATATTACTAAAATGGTCCAATGACTTGCCTTGGGGTACCCCCCATTTTAGGAAACCGTCGGATGCGGATTGATGTTGGGATCCTTCCGACCCAAATAAAGGGACGGTCCAGAGATGTCTCGCCCAAGTCCTTGGGCGACTAAAGGAAGTGCAGATCGACCAAGAAAAAGTGCATTACAGACCAGTCAAACAATGAAATCAAATATATTGAAATATATATATATATATGATTATATATGTATATATATATCAAATACATGCGGATAGATGATCAATCATGCCCCATTGGGTGTATGATGTGTATGTCCCATGTTTCCTCCGGATTCCCTTTCGACCATGGTAGAGTTCCATGTCCCACATTGGGCTGTAGAGGCGGACATTGTCAGTGGAGTCAGTGGTTAATAGGCCTAGTGAAGTCACCATTCAGTGGAGTTATCCCAATATCTCCCATTTATAAATAGGTCATAATAGGTCATTCTTGTGTGGTTGGTGATGCAATAACCATCTTGAAAAATATGAGTCAATGGGAAGTATTAATTATCCCATATATGAAATGGAAAATAAAATTCATGTTTGAAACCACCAACCAGTTGTATGATATTTGTATGATATCCATTTCTGTGAAAAAAGATAACAGATTGTACAGTAGCCATCCAAGGTTGTTATATCCATCAGAGTATCATCACATCTGATGGGGTTGTTCCCTGTCTGAAGCAAATGCACTGCTCGGAAACATCCCGATGAACACTTTGTTTTTCTCACCACACTGGCTCTGAGTCTGTCCACTACAGCTGCTCAGTGGCTGCTAAGAGATGACGGACTTTTTCCCCCAACATCTGAACTCTTTTTCCAAGAACAACAACATGACGACATGTCCAAAGAAGTAAATCTAACAAGTATTGCCCACATATGCCATATGCTCCATGTATAGTATATGTACCTACAAAACTGGGCAATTTATGATGTATTGGTGCTGGTAAATATCATAAATATCTCAGCACCATGGAGCATCCGAGGGCTCGAATCCATCGGAGCCATGCCATTTCCACCCCATGGGACTGACAAATATGGCGAGACTGACAACCCAGATAGGAAGCGGGTAAAAGCCATACAATACCGCTGTCATGTATATATATATATATATATATTTAATATATATATATACACATAAGACTGTTATGTGTAATTATATATATATATACACATGAAATCTTCACTTTCAAATATGGAGTGATTATATGGGCTATAAACCACTTACTAATTGGGATGCACATCACAGCAGAATCCATGGCCCTGTTGCTACACAGCTTGCTGATGATGGGGAAACCACATGTTTCTGGCACTGTATGCTATGGCAGTGGGTCAAAACCTTGTACCCCTGGTGAACATAAAAATAGCTGGTAAATGGATGTTCATCCCTCTAAAAATGGTATTAATAGGTATTGATTCATAGCCATATTGTGTGATACGATATAATATCTTATCAGTGATATCCCAACTTATGGAGAAAAAACACAATGGTTGAGGGGTTAAGCATTAGTTGAAAATCAAATATATTCAAACATTACTTGAACAGCATGCCTTCTACATTACTTCATTAGTTAAGAAACAAAGATGATGTAATCCAATTGGCCAGCCATTTGTGAACTGATTTTTACTCAGAGATTGAGATTCCAATTCTTGTGGTGCCAACATAGGTTATAAGTAGAATTGGTCCAGTTATAGTAGGGTCAGACATCAACTTCCAAGAAGTTCGATATATAGTTAAATAAATGAATATATATATATACTCAGATATTCCGCAGATGCCAAACAATTTGTTTGTTTCCAGCATTCCAGGTGTTGGGCACTTGATTGTATTGCTTCGAAAACACTCGGTTTGAAGCTTCAGTCCATGTCGTCCATAAAGTCGTCACGTTCCTCGATGGTCAAGTTATGTACATCCTCACCTTGGAAGGCATTTTTTCAGAAACCCAGGCAGGTCTCGTTTTTCTGGGTGATTCGAAGGCATTTTTTCTGGTGCCTGTGCCTGGTCATATGAGTTGCAACCCGTTGAGAGTTCACCATGTCGCTCTGAATATTATACCCCCCCTCTGAATATAATATTATACTGGTGAGTTAGTTGATGTATTCCAAATTTCTGGATTTGCATCTTCTGCGTTTTCATCACCAGGCAGCATAAACTTAAATTTCTATTGGAAGTCCACCACCAAGGCTATCAAAGCTACATCATGGTGTTAGCCAGCGTGGCAATAGCAGCTGTATTGGCTCGTGCCCATAATCCTTAAACCATTTTCATACAATAGAGCTGCTGTCAGTTTTTGAGCTGTTCTGCGTTAATTGCAGGGTTCACCAGTCTGGAACAAAAATAAGGTTAGTCTTTTAGGGCATACAGACCACCACTATCACAACATATTGCAAAGGAAGTTATCTGAGTGAACCTAGGATCAAGGATATCCACATAGAATTCCCATCAACCTGAAAGGTTCGCCATTTTGGAGAATTGTTCCTCTCCAAGTACAGAAAACAACAGCATCTTTGGCATGATACTGTGGATGGGCCAGCGAAATCCGAATCACCAGTTGAAAACGGTGGTAAACATCCCAGGTTTTCAACCATCCTTTTGGTGGTGCAGGATTTCGCTGGCCCATCCACAGTATCTGCATCGGAAATCACACGTTCCGGCTCAAAGGCAATCCATCAACCTACCATTCATTGCCATTCACCACGGTTCAACCAGTATTTTTTTGTTTAGTTTAATCCAATGTCTATCCCATTTCCAAGCGGTATAATCCAGTAAGATACCATCATATACCATGTTCTCTGTGTGTTATCATTTATAATCTCAGATCCAGCTAACATCAACTTGAACAGTGCTCAACTAACATCCAGTACTGTCCATTATCCCAAGACCATCCAGCTATAATATAACACATGCTGAATCATACCTGCCCAAAAGTCTTATTCTTAACTGGCTAATACAATTTACATCATTTTACCACTGATAGCAAAAGATTAACGTACTACAGTATACAGTATATGGATGTTTCCAAAAATGGGTGTTATTTTCAGATTTCCGATTATAGACCATCCAGCTATATAAAGGTATCCCCATTTATGGAATCCCCCATACCAGATTTATTTTTGGTGTTAACCATGTAATTATTGGGCTATTATATCTCCAAACTTCCCAGTGAGATGCCCCATGTTTGACCCAGAACATCACCCAACCCTTTGAGCCCCCCATCGAACCATATCCAACCCCGCGTGACCCAAGCGATCCAGCTCGCCGATGCTCGCGCCATCGCGGCTGCGCTTGTTCTTGGCCCGGTCCTTAATTGTTTTTTTTTCGTGCTGCCACTGAATGATTGGAGAAATGACCATAATGAACTGATAAATCCCGATTGTTGATGGTTAAATCCCCATTGTTGATGAACTGATTTACTGGGGATTTCATGGGGAGTTAACCATCAACAATAGGGATTTAATGGGACGAGACGGGACCGAACGGGGATTTCATCAGAACATTATAGGATTTAAAGGGGATGTGAACATCAGCTATAGGAATTTAATGGAGATATAGTGGGATATATATTATATATATATATAATATCATTATATATATATATAAAATCATTATATATCACCATCCATAACTATTTAGATGATGTTAGTTGTGTCTGAGATTGGACTATACCCCAAGATTGGCAATATTGCTAGGACAAATGATGATGATGCAGCAGTAGACTGTGAGGTGCCATATTTCCAACCGGCCTTACTACCTTACCCTTTAAAAGGTTGCCGTATCAACCTGTAAGAAATGGAGATGATTGTTAGGTAATGCTAAGCCCGGATCAATTTTTAGTACCCTAGGCTGCTGAAATTTGGATTACCATGCTAGTAGCAGATGATCTTTCCTGTCCCAGGATCCAGCAAACGAGCCAAAGTGACTACCCTCTGGTAATTTAACATAGCTATTGAAAATGCCCATTTATAGTGGATTTTCCCATGAAAAATGGTGATTTTCCATTGCTATGTTAGTTCACCAGAGGGTAATTATTGCTGGTTTCTGGATGTTTCTGGTGATGTTTGGAGCGGCTCCCTATCTTTTCGTCTGAAAAAAAACACAAATTCGGTTGAAAAATACGTTGAATCTCAACGAATGTTTTGATTGTTAAACTGTAAAATCAAAGTTACCCTCTGGTGAACTAACATAGCAATGGAAAATCACCATTTATAGTGGATTTTCCCACTATAAATGGCCATTTTCAATTGCTATGTTAGTTCACCAGAGGGTAGATCCCTAATTTGGTTCTTCGAGTCCCATTAAAATTCCATTACATCCTGGTTGAATCACACTTCTTCACCATTTTGTAGGTTACATTCCCTTGTAGTTTCTCATATTCAATCCCATTTCAGTTATGGGGTGGTGTCCAAGTCCGCCATGGTCCAATGACTTGGATGATTTGGAGGTACCCCCATGGATTGAAAACTGCTATCATAAACGTCAGAAACCCTACAGTTCCTGGAGTTTTGTTGACCAACTTAGCTAACTGGACCTGGCGCCTCCGATAGTTCCATTTTGTTCCCACGAATACCGAGCTTTGCCACATTAAAATCAATCCCAACACATTACCTTTGGGTCTAAACTGTTCCAACTTGGATGATCTTGGATGATCTTGGATGTGCATCCCACTGCGTAAATGGTTCATAATGGTTTATAACCGTGATATACCGTGATATTCATATGCCGTAAGTGGGAGAATCCCAGCATGTCACCAGATTCTGCCATGTGGGAATGATCTCCCCATTTTGTGAGGAATATGTGGATGCCCATTGCCCCATGAAATGGAACTAGTGTACCAGAGATACCTAATTACCCATTTTCAAAAATCAAGGGAATATCAATACCCATTTCCCGCATGGTTTACTCATTCAGCTATCTGGTGATTCACCCATGTATTGTTGGGAATACAGTTATGACCATGGCTATTAGTTATAACTGGTCAGAAATGGGATTTTACATTCCATCAATGGGCTTTTGTTAGTACTTCTAACTGGTAAAGTGCCATAACATGCCATGGATCCCCGTTGATTGGGCTGCCAATCCCCTCCGAATCACCAGCACAGGCAGCGGCGGCCCAGGTGCCATGCCCCGCTCGAAGTTTCGCATCTGTTCCTCCACGGCCGCTTGGCGTTTCTCCTCCAAGTCACGGCGTTGCTCCCGCAGAAACGGCACCTCAGCCATGACAAAATGCACGAGTTTTCCCATCTCATTATACTACTTAACACTGGTTGGTGGTTTCAACCCCTCTGAAAAATATTAGTCAGATTGGATCATCGTCCCAACTATTGGGGAAAAAAAACATGTTCCAAACCACCAACCAGTTATACTACTTAGTACTACTTAGACCTTTCCAATACCCGAAACAAATGGGACACGTACTAACATGATGAGGTAAAAGACCACTTTTGAGGGTACTTGGAGGGTCTAGGTAGTTGGTTGATAGATTTCCCTATGGGTTATCATAATCTCCACTAGACTAGGTAGTATAAGTCCCTATATTAACCAATCAACCAGGGTATTTTAATGGTTCAATTGGCAAGTGGATGGCATGAGGGAAATGCAACCCACCAAAAAAACTCATGGACTTGGGAACTCTAGGGAAAAAAAACAGAAAAAAAAACATCAGAACATAGAGAAACATCTGGATTAGACCTGGGGAATCGAGGAAACAATGCAAGACATCAACCCCAAATGGTTGGTCATGTTAGGATAATTTCCCGTTTTTTCACCATTCGTGATGGGGTCGTGTAATACCTAGGGTCTTTTACGATAATCCATGCCCCCGTTGAGCCCTTAAACACCCCCCTAGCAAGAATAAGGGGATTAAATCACGATATTTGGACCATGCAATGGGGGTTTCGCATGAACGGGGAATGGGATTATGATTTGTAGTTGGTTGGGGGATACAACATGATGCACCAACTGAGGATGTGGGGAGCCCGGCGGGCCCCTATTTTTCTGTTTCATAACCCGAAACTTGGATTTAGCCAACAAGAGCCGGAGTCAAGTCCCCATATAATTGGATTACTTTGAGAGAAAATCTACGGGAAACCATATTTTTTTACTCCCCAATTATTTTGATTTTTCTTATGTTTTCTGGCAAAAAAAATGCCATGAACTATTTCCGGATAACTAAATCATGATACTTCGGCCATTCTGGGATAGTTACCCTCATCCAATTAATTCCGAAAGTCATGATCAAATTTGATGGTTCAATCATGTTAAATCCACCATTTTCCTGCTTTTAGGTCAAATCCCAAGTTCTTAGCACAAGGAACGTAGCTCTCCTGGAACTCCACGGCAGCGTCCTGGACGGCTTTTTGGAAGGCCTCCGAGCCTGTCGAGTTTTGGATGGCGGGGCTAAAGATACATACAGTGGTAAATAGCCAGCCATCCTAATCGAGTGATTAACGTCACCCTTTTTTGGGGTATATCTAGACCCTCGAAATACCTTCGAAAATTGCGCATTTTCCCCTATGTTTTCCTGCCTGCCCTGCAGGTGGGGGTCTTTAGATTCTATCATAAATGCATCCCGTCCTCCTCCTCCTCCTCCTCCTCCTTCTCCTCGCCATCCAGCTCTCATGGGCAGTGCCGGACTTCAACCATGAGCTCCGGATCTCAGTGAACCGCGAGCTCCAGATCTCAGTGGTCGCTGGCGGATCTCAACCGCAAGCGCCAGATGTCAGTGGGCTCAACCGCGAACTCCAGATCTCAGTGAACACCGCCGGACCCCAACCGCGAGCGCCAGATGTCAGTGGGCACTGCCGGACTTCACGGCGAGCGCCAGATGTCAGATAGAACGCCACAAAGAATGCTAGATAGAATGTTAGAACATACGTCAGATAGGGTGCCAGCTATCAGATAGCATGTCAGAATACACACACACATATATATATATATATGTATATCACAGATAAAATGCCAAACAGAATGCCACATGGAATGTCAGAAATATATGCCAGAAAGAATGCCAGATAGAATCTGAGAAAATATGTCAGATAGAATGCCAGATATAGTGCCACACAATATGTGGAAGATAGAATATCAGTTGGTTGGATCACTCGAAGACAATAATTTGCATAATTGGAGTGTCTAATCACATTGAAAGTTTATGACCATGGCACATATCACCATCCAAATATGTTTGAACCACCATGTTTGCGGATTTTTGTCGGTTGAACATGATATTGCCATACAATATATTCAAGGGATTGACTCAAGGGAACAATTAGCGTACAGCAAACCATGATTTTTCCCGAGCCTAGAGGTATCCTGCTTTCACCGCCGTAGCAAGTTGAGAACACCTCTACAAAGCCCAGTTACAAATGGATAAACCGCAGTTGGATGCTTGGGCTTAGGTGGTACGTGGGTCAGTATATCCTCTTTCTATATGACTGTGGGAATGCGGCGTCGACGAAGCGAAAGCGCACCTGCTCCGGTCACAGCAGAGACCCCCACCGATCTCAAATTCCTGCAGTGTGAAAAACTTGAGGCAAGGTATGGCCGCAGCAAAAATGATTCAACCATGCGAAGATGCGATTTTAATGGGTTTCAATCAACAAATTTATTCGGAATTGAGCAATCAAAATGGATATTTGACCTATTGTTAATGGAAACTGGGTGTGTCTGGAAATGGTGGTTTAACCATCAAGTATATATGGGGATTTAATTGGGAAATCATCGGAATCGGATCGGTATAACCAACAACCATTTAAATCAAAAATAGTGAACAACCATTGGATCTGAGGGTACACTACATTCAAATGAACCCCTATGAGTTGATCTGGGAAACCGATCAACAGGAAGTCCACAAAGTGAGGTTAAACAATGTTAAATCCAAGACGAATGACTTATGAAGACTTATGAGTACCTAAAAAATAAAATACTTGTCGTTTTTGGTAAGTTTATCCATATTTTGAACGCACTTTTACCCAGCTGATAGCTCTGGGGGGGTACCGGGAAAACCCCAAACCAAAAGGATATTTCAAGTGGGAAAATCATCTAAAAAATGGTGGATTTTCCATCGCTATGTTTGATTCCCAGAGGGCATACTCATCTAGAATTGGCCATGCTAACGCAATTCTTAGTTCGGGTAAAAAACACAGATCAGTCTCAGCGAGGATTCTGTATTGCTGTGGGTCTGCCTGCCTGTCTGCTTGCCTGTATGTATGTACGTACGTATGTATGTATGCATGCATGTATGTATGTATTTATGACGACGTGTCTTCGATAGCAACTCTGACGTTCTTCCGAAAGAGGCAGGTGGGGAAAGATATGTTTTCTTCCCGGGCGTTGATTTGGGGTCAGAACATGGGAAATTTCTGAAGGCCTCAGCTGATCGCTTCAGAAATCTGTGACGTCTTGAAACCGAAATCAATGTCTGCAAGATACAGTGTCCACACTGAGGTGTTATAAGGCCCTGTTTTCGAACGAGGTGGTATCGGAAGCGTCCGGCATTTTCCCTGTGAATTTCTGCACAAAATGCCTCTTGTGACATGTCCATGTGCATTTCGATTGGGCAGGCTCGTACAAAACGGGTGTCGCGGGATACGGGTCCGGCATTTTCCCTGTAAACTACCGTGCAAAATGGCTCTTGTGATGCGTCCATGTGCATTTCGATTGCATGGGCAGGCTCGCACAAAACGGGTGTCGCGGGATACGGGTCCGGCATTTTCCCTGCAAACTACCGTGCAAAATGGCTTTTGTGATGTCCATGTGCATTTCGATTGCGCAAGCTCGCACAAAACGGGTGTCGCGGGATATAGGTCCGGCATTTTCGCTGTAAATTACCGCACAAAATGGCTTTTGTGATGTGTCATAATGTGTCCATGTGCATTTCGATTGCGCAGGCTCGCACAAAACGATGTCCCCGGAGGTGTCCGCGGCCATTTATACTGTAAAATTCCAAACAAAATGGCTCTTTGACCATGTCCGTCTGCATTTCGACTGCGCAGGCTCGCACAAAGTGTGCTTCCCGGTCTTGGGATCGGTCTTCCTCCTCAAAATCCTCCTCCTCCTCAACATCATCATCTTTCTCCTCCTCCTCCTCCTTCTCCTCCTCATCCTCCAACTCAACATCATCGTCGTCCTCTCATCATCATCATCATCATCATCACCATCATCACCATCATCACCATCATCCTCACCATCACCACCATCCTCATCACCATCATCCTCATCATCACCAGCATCATCCTCATTATCGCCATCATCATTGCCATCATCAACATCACCACCATCACCATCATCATCATCATCATCATCATCGTCATCATCATCATCAAGATCACCATCATCATCATCATCATCAACAACATCATCATCATCATCATTAATTACCATCATCATCCACATTAATCAGCATCATCAGCATTATAATACATTATCCTTTTACTCCCTCCACACTGTTTGGGGTCTCTTGCCAGGATATGTTTTGTGCAGAAGTGTGAAATCCAACGAGAAAGATCTGAAGGTTTAAATTGACATCTTTTGAAATTCCCAGGTATGATGCTTGGCAAGAAGAAGTACCATTGGAGATTAAATATCCTAACTTCTGCTGGACATCTAAGAAACCTCGGAATTTAAAACACTTTTAGCTGAAACAGGCAGAAGTCTTCATAGTAAGATCAAGTGTTGCCTTCTGCAGGGAGGTATGTTTCAGAGGCTTTTGGATCAAATCCGTTCGTTTTGTGATTGCCATAGATCACGGTGAGTCATCAGGCCTTGGCTTGAATCGTCGCATATAATTACTGCACACATTGTCGAGTCTACTTTGTGAATATTCTGTACACATTTCAGTGACCACAAATTAAATGATGTATATCGTTGATTCCATGATATTTTGTGACCAAATCAAAACAGTGGTAGTGTATGGCCATGTATATATATATATACATTAATATAATATATAATATATACGCATAATCTGTATATACTATATTACTGTATACATATACTATAATATATAGTAAAACATTTATAATAGCAAATACATATTTATATGATATAATAAATAAATATATATATATATATATATAATAATAACAATAATAAGAAGAATAATAATAAATATATATAATATAGCATAGATATATTTATACATGGGTGCATGTGGATATATACATATAATAGTTATATGTATCTATATGGATATGTAGATATGTGTGGGATTATATGGGTATATCTGGATATGATATATCTACAAAATCTTAATATGATGGCAATTGGTTTTCATGAATATATAAATAGAATTATAGGGGCATATGATATGGATGTATACTGCATACGGAGATATAGATTTGACCTTGTACTCCTCACATCCCAAACCCTATCCCAAATCAATTGCTTTTAACCCATGATCAAGTGCAATTTCTTTATTACTAAATATCAATGATACAAAATCCAAAATCCCATAGTTTCAAGATGTGTTCACCATTTTTCACCACAGTTTATCCCCATCCCCATCGCTCCATTTTCAATCGTGGAAAAATTGGGGATCCCATTTTTCACCACACATCCTATCCCCCCACAACAAAGGCCCCCGCGGTCCCCGACGCGTCCGGTGCCTGTAGAACTCCTCCATGGCCAAACTCATCGACTTCGACAGCGACGCCACGTAGCTCGTCTCGCGGCTCAGCGCCTCCCCCAACTTCTCGAAGTCCTCGTCACGGCGTTCAACACGGTGGTCCAGAGGCGGTTTATACTGGAATTTTACGGTTATTAACTACCACACAAATATGAATATTGGAAAACTGAGGGATTAATAGGGATCTTGGTTTATTAACTAGTGGGATCAATTATGCTGTTTTCCACTATAGTTTATTGAATATGATGCATAAATATATAAATATATATATATACATATAAATATATATATATACATATATTGCAAATATGTGCATGGGAAACGCCAAAGGGATTTGAAGCGCCAAACATTGGACAATGGCGAAAACGAATGGTACGCTTCCATGGGATTTTCACGGTAATTTCACCATGAAAAACAGAGAATTGGCTAGAATATGCTAGAATCGAAGGGAATATAAAGGGAATATGATGGGGATAATGGGATACAACAGGTGCTTCATCCTGGTCAAGTATGTTTTTGTTAGCCAGTTCTAAGATTCAAAGTCCATCATTCCTACTTATCCATACTTAATTCCACTTAGAACCAGTGATATTTCACCAACTTACTGGGATGAGCCTCCAAGAAATCCACCCTCCCCGAGCAGCGTCCTCCATCCATTCCATCAGAAAGTCGTGTGGTATCACGTCAATCTTGTTGAAGGAGACCAGAAATGGCAGCCTCGAATCATTGCGCGGAGGCTGGGGATGATGCGACTGAGCTTGGCATAGTTGGAATGAGGAATATACTCTCTGGTAAACGAACATGGCTATTGAAAATGGCCATAGAAATAGCTGAATTACCCATTAAACATGGTGATTTTCCATAGTTCTGTAAACGTTTACCAGAGGGTACTGGAATATAGTCAAGACACTAGAATGATATAGCCAATACATCCACTAGAATGGCTGACATGAATCCTGGAGCACCGCTTCTCGACCCATCTTTCGTCCCAACAAAAATGTCTGCTTCCTGTCAAGTCACTTGGCAAAACCCATGGTTTCACTAACCCATACTTAACCCATTAAATCCCAAATGCTCCATGTATGGTATATTTACCTACATTTGGGTGATTTCTGGGGTAAATGTTGGTAAATATATGTAAATATTCCATACATGGAGCGGGAATGGATGTTTAACAGTTTGGCAATCGAATCGAAAGCATCTACTTTTTCCCTTTTTGGATTTCACAGTCTTCCCCCATCCGGCATCCATCCGGCGCGTGCGGAGAAAGAGGCTTGGTCTTGTACAAAATGCTGCAGGCATACAGCATGTTGGACATAAACGTCACAGGCTTCACACATCTGGCGGTATCTACAACCTGCCAAGAAAAAAGCGGAGAAAACCGGTGAAGGATCTGCCACCAAAGCAAAAAGTGGTGCCCCAGTTCACTTAAGCCAAGTTGGTTTACAACTCAATTAATGCGGGGTCCTGGTGATCATCTACGTAGATGGGAAAACACGGCAAAACAGCAAGCCCTCAGCAGTGTCCACACCAAAATCACTGGTTCTTTGGCAAATTTGGCCCATCTATGACATGCCAAAATCATGTGATGTATATATATATACAGACATATTATAACATATTGTAGTGTATATATATATAGCAGCTATCGTAACATCATACATTTCATCTTTGTAGTGTAAACATCATCATACATACCCATCATATCATCATCCAAAGCAGCAACTTCCATGAACTTCCCAAAATTCTCCCCTCCGGAGGCATTTTCGCAACATAGAAACATCTGGGCAAATTATAATAATTCACTAATCTGAATTAAGGCAATTTGGGGATGATTCCCCTTACCAACCATGATTTCCAGTGAGGGAGAACAGGGTTCGGTCGTGATGAAGTTTACCCATATATATAATATAATATCATTATATATCCCCATCCATAACTATTTAGATGATTTTAGATGTGTCTGAGATTGGACTATACCCCAAGAATGGCAATATTCCTTTGCCCAGAAACATAGCAAATCACCGTCGGATACGTCACCGCCAAGGCGTCGCAGATAATTTGCCCCGAGGCCGACCAGTTGAAGACTTCGATCTGACCAGGCGTGTCCTGCCAGAAATGGTGAATTTCAGAGGGAACATCTGGAAAACTAATGATGATTCATATGGTGAATTTATGTAAATTTAATAGGGAAATATGGTAAATAATAGGGAAATGATGGTTATTTAACATAGCCATGGAAAATGGCCCATTCATAGATGGTTTACCTATTTATAGATGGTGATTCTAACATTACTGGTTGGTGGTTGAGCCGACCCCTCTGGAAAATATGAAAATCAATTGGGATCATTATTCCCAATATATGGAAAAATAAAAAGTGTTCCAAACCACCAACCTGTTTATGATTCATATGGTGAATTTAATAGGGACATATGGTAAAATGATGATTACCTAGACGGAATCTTATTCTGGAATATTCTGGAATAATATTAGTGTTTATACTCTGGTAATCGAACATGGCAAGTGGATTTGTTTTTGGGTATTTCAATGGGAAAATCATTGAAATTCAGTATAAGTCTAAAATTAGATGTAGCAAATGTCCATTGCCATGTTTGAGTACCTGAGGGTACCATATTGGTGACACCGAAACAATAAAGATGCACCAATAGGGCTTGTGAACCACCATTGTTGGGAGATAGGGTGACTCGAAGGCTGGATTTTTTGTCGGACCTTTCTGTTCTGCCATTTTCCCATCTTGGCCAGAGGAAAACTAACAGTGAGGAAAGCATAAGCACATATACCCTCTGGAAACTAACATAGCGAAGTGACATGGCCAGAGAAATAGTTGATATACCCATGAGACATGGTGATTTTCCATAGTTCTTTGTATGTTTACCAGGTAAGCACACGCAAAACACAGGTTTTTTGATACGGGAAACCCCTTGCCCATGCTCCAATCACTGGCAATCCAAGCTGGTCATCTTCCGGTGAAGATATCACCGAGCTTAGTCAAACATAGAGATATGGGAGGGATGATGAGGCCAAGGTAATGTCCCAAAAAATATATAAATCATATATAAATAGGCCAGGGTATATATCCTAGACAGACATAATTACCCCCACGTAATTTAACATATGTCTAACACATGTTAACACATAGCTATGGACAATGGCCATTTGAAAGAAGTTAGTTACATAGCCAAAAAAAAAAGACTCCGGCTGCATCTGCGTCAAGGATCGATGAGGATGTAATCCAATTCGCCGGCGCGTTTGCTGAGGATATTCAGTACTTGATCAAACTTCGTGGCGAAGAGATTCAACGATGTCCTGGTGCGGCGAGAGAAACGACCAGGATGAACGACGAAGGACGAAGCGATAAATCGCCAACCAAAAAAAAGGAAGGTGCCACAGATCAAGAAAGAATCTGATGAGGATCATATTGAAGAATTTCTGCGCCATGGGGAATCTCCAATGAATGATGGAATGGTCACTGTGCCTTCTTTACATTCATTGATGCTAAGTCCCATGTGACATCCCCTTTTCAAGAAGCTTGGTTCAATCCATTGCTGTTTGTCAGTCCCATCATTGTCGCTGCATTGTCAATTGCTGTGGGTCAGTATCCCCAGCGTCCTAGGGAACTTGAACAAGCTGAAATATACATATATATATACATACATATATATATACATATATATATATATTATATTTATATATAGTGATAGATACATATACAGTAAATAAAGCTGTCGCTATCTACATCTGCATCAGTCCGATTGCAATGTAAGACATCCCCATTTTTCCGGTTTCAGTTTGGTCAAAGCTGAACTATAGCCAGGGGCTATGGCTATGCTATGGCTGTTTATACGTTTAAACCTCTGGTCTCTCCGTCTGAGTCGTGCCGAGCGTCATGATGGCGCCGTTGGGCCCCAAACCAAAATGTTTCATGACCTCCTTGTAGTTCACGGAGTCACGAATGTCGATATTCCTGAAGCGATGAGTGGGGATTTCCTAAAATGGGGATACCCCAAAATGAATGGTTTATGATGGAAAATCCTGTTAAAATATGGATGATTTAGGGGTATCCCATGGTATCAGTTATAGATCTACGTACGGTGCTCCATTCCCCCATACTGCAGTTCAGAGGTTCAAAACCCAGTAGATGAACCATGGCAAAGTTTCTGTCACCCCCGCCTGACTTAAAGAAAACTTTTACCCAAACCACTTGTGACCGTGTTTTCTGTCGGTAGAAACCCACGGTATCATTTCCATCCACTTTCCTGTACCCGGAGCCGTTCTCCAAACTACTAGTTTTCTCATCAGGGCCAATCTTAGATAACCCTACAAGAAGAGTAAGTAAGTATCAACACATCTCCGAATTTTATAGCTGCAACCATCGATATTGAACTATACTTAGATTCTCTGCTACTCTACAAGACTGATTATTGTAGCTGTAGTTTACACGAGTCATCTAAGTCATCCATCTCAGAATGATGGAATGTGATGGATCAGATGGATCAGAAACTGCAAAAAAAGTGTTTGGGTATAATGTATATCGGTATAACCAGCAATATGACATGTGGTTTCGTCTAATGGGGTATATATATATATATATGTATGTATGTATGTATATATATATGCATCAGGTATATCCCCAAATGGCCACTTTCATAGGCAAAAATGATCATAAAATATCATCTTACTGGTGCGTTTTACGCAGGGAATGAGGGAATGATCCATGTCATCACTAGTAATAATCATTCCATTCCCCCATTCCCATCCATTCCCTACTAAGCACCAGTAAGTCATAAACTACCGGACCGACTCGCCGAGCATCACTGGGTACGCCAAATTTTTCACCGCCGGATCCAGATTTACCTGGGAGTTGCTTGAGGAACCTCAACAAAAATAAGCACTGTATATAATATGTATGTATAATATGTATATATGTACTATATTAATGTTAATACATTAATCATTATATATAATATATTAAATATATTATATTAATGTTATATAACATTATACAACAAATGTAATTATGTATATCAATATAACTTAATATGTATATACATACCATAAAATCCACTTGATATAAGATATTTTTCCAATGAAATCAGCCATGGTTCAATCTCCATAATAATCCATTACCAGAGGGTCAATCACCATTAAATCACCAGGAACATATCCCCATTAAATCCCGAAGCAGATAATTATTAATCATCATTTACCATATAATAACATATAATAACCACATATGAACCACATATTAACCATTTTTAACCACATATAATCACCATTATTCGTCAGTGTAGATCTTCCAGTGTCGATGACCAGGTCACGGTGTAGACTTTGGAACTGGAACTCCCCAGGCGCACCACCATGCGATGCATGAGGGTGGACTTACCACTGCCGGCCATGCCTTGTTGATGGACAGATTCCGACAGCATCCCGGCTCGGCGAAAACGGGCCCCCGTTGAAAAAGTCATGAACACTCAACAGAAATAGGGCTGAAATAGGGCTTTGACATGCTTTAAATTGCAGAAAGAGGCAGGGCTTTCACATGTTTCCACCATTGGAGTTCAACAATCTAAAAAATGAATTTCACCATTCAACATGCGGTGAAGAAACCAAAAAGCAATCTTGGGAGTTGACCATCAAACAGTGGACTGACTGCTGGCTTGGCTTTCTGGAATTATCAGCAGGGAGTCAGGGAGTAGCAACAACAATGCATGCCTGACCAGGCTTAAAAAAGGGGAATGAGAAGGAAAACAGGGAATCAAACTATATCATTAGTTTATATTAGTTTGTACGTCAAATTAAAAGCGACTTTCCAACCTTGTACCAAAATCAAGCATGCAGCATGCCTGGTTGGACAATCAGCGTTCGTTTGGGAACACTACCCAGAAGTGTCCAATTGTCCGGGCTTAGTAGATGAATCAGGCCAAGGAATGACCAGCATACCTAGCATGCCTTCAGAGACTTCAGGTCCTAGATACCAATCATCAAGATCACCACCGGAGACTTTGGGATCTTGAGTTCTGACGATGACGTCTCCATCGCCATGATTCACAGCACTGAGCATCACACGAAAAAAAACACCCTGCCAGCGAAAGGATTTCCCTTCGAATGGAGTCGAAGATTTTCTAGTAAAATTGCACAGAGTTTGGGGATGTTCCCTCAGAAAGGGGGAAATATCAACGTTGAAATTGCGATTTTTTTCAGCGGAGGAAAATGGAACAACGAGTACTGGTTTGGGACAATGCTGGCCGATGTGTCAAAGTCACCCCGTTGAGATCTGCTATCACACTTCCTACTAAGGTTGGGGACCACATTCCTATCGTGGCTTAACACCTTCAACATTCAAGAAACTCTGAAAAAACGAGTGGCACAAATTCATGGGTAAAAGGAGCCACCTGTCAATGTGTTTAGAAAGAGTGCCCAGTTCATCTGCAGAAGTTCAATGACAAAGGCCTTGATATGTTTGTATATGTTTGTCACATCTTCCTTCCAAGCTGTGTCTATCTGCATCATATTTGTCATGTTGTCCTAGCGCTGTTGAAGTCAGCTGCGGCACGAGTTAGGCGACCTGCTTTGGATGTACCACCAGTTGGCTGCATGAATGCGACTAATGTATGTATATGTCAATGCGCCAAATCTTCATTGATGTATATTAGTGTAATTCTATCAATGAATACTAATGTTAAACTATATACAGTAATTAACTAATACTTGATATCATGTATCTCTTTAAAAATGCCAGGTAATGTATGTTAATGAGAAACAGCAGCCAAGCTCTTCACAAGCTCCTGATGACACCGATCTTCTTGCCCAGTGGTCTCCATGGTGAGCAGTGTGAAATCCATCCCTCGATCATTCCATTTAATCCTGTTTGGTTTTATAGGGATTCCCCTATTGGACTACTGGTTGGTGGTTGAGCCAACCCCTCTGAAAAATGATGGAGTTTTTCAGTTGGGGTTATGAAATTCCCAACTATAGGGGAAATAAAAGCCATGTTCCAATGTTCCAAACCACCAACCAGATTATCAATATTCCATTACCAGAGGGTTAATCACCATTAAATCACCCGGAAAATATCCCCATTAAACCACCAACCAGATCACCATCATATTCCCTATATATCCCCATTAAACCACCAACCAGATCACAATCATATTCCCTATATATCCCCATTAAACCACCAACCAGATTATTGTGATCCCCAATTAATATAAAGGGTAGTAAAAACCATCCCCGAAGTCATCATCAACCAACAGGGCTAACAGGAACCTTTTCTGCATCCTGTCCTCACAGTCGCGTCTTGGTGTTGGATGGCCAGTTTCTTTAGCAAAATTAGATGCCGAAGGACAAAGCCATTACTCAATGGCCTATCGAAGCCATTCATCGATTCAAGATGATGAATATGGTACCCGGCCTGGTAGGCGAACTAACAGTTTGCGAACTGGAAAGATTCACCTAATTTACAAGAGGTAAATTAACTATTTCTATGTGCCATTTTTCAATAGCTATGTTAAATTATCAGAGGGTATCATTCTTGAAAAAAATGAATGATGAATCGGTCAGATCTGTTTCTGCCCTCCCCCAAACAAGGTGCACACACCACCCGGTGATGTGATAAGCCCTCGATCATCAATATTCACAAATCAGATCTTCCAAGTTACAAGACATAAAACTGCAATTCTCATCAAATAACTTTTGAGTACATGTGTCATGTTTTTGGAAATTCCATTGCAATCCCATTAAATCCCAATTGTTCATGGTAAGGTATGCCTTTTTTCTTGCCCAGATCTATGGTTCAATCGCCGACCATCCAAGAATGACTGTACGGAGTCATCCAATTCGGCCCCGGTGGAAAGCTGCGCGTTGGAGCTTAGAAAGCAAAGATCTGTGGTTAGATACGTTATATGCCTAGTGGTGCATGGTTATTCCTAATCATGAATGTGGTTTATAAAACCTTAAGGTTTTCCTCCATTTATGGCTATAGCTATGTTTCAGTTATTTCACATGCTATCAAAACTTGATATAACCACTTAATTTCCCTCATTTACATGTTCAGCTATGTTTAAGTTATTTCAAATGCTATCTAAACTTGATATATATATATATATAACCAGTATAGATAATATAGATCACCATTATAATGCTATCTGGAACTTTCTTCAACTTGCAATATAAATATATATATATATGTAATATAACCATTTAATAACCATTATATAACCACAATATTTTCCTAAAGTTCCATGTGGCCCACCGACTACCTCGAGTCATCTCAGTCGCGGTCCACCGGGGCGATGGACGTCCAGAGGCCCAAATTCGTCAGCCGCTGGTGGTAGTCTTCAGCTGCCTGCGCCCATCGGTACCAAGGTGAAAGATATATATGATTAATATATATATATATATATTATAAGATAAATATATATATATTATAAGATATATAAATATTATAAGATATATATATATATATTATAAGATATATATATTATAAGATATATATATTATAAGATATATATATATCTTATAATATATATATATATATTATTATATATATATCTTATTATATATGTATATATCTTTTACTATATATATATATATTATAATATATATATATAGTATAAGATATATACATATATAATAAGATATGTATATATATATAATAAAATATATATCTATAAAAAATATTATAAGATATATATATATATATATTATAAGATATATATATATATTATAAGATATATATATATATTTATATTATAAGATACATTTATATATATTATAAGGTATATATATATATTATAAGATATATATTACAAGAGTTATGTATATATATATATTATAAGATCTATATATATGTTGATATATATATATATATTGATATATATATATATTGATATATATATATATAATGATATATATATATATCAATAATAATATATATATATATTAATATATATTAATATAATATATATATATATCCAATAATCGAACTAGTTCATGGAGGTTTATAACTCGGGGGGCACCACCTTGACATCAGCGGAGTCATCTCCCATCTTTGTCTTAGGACTGAAAAGTTGCCGAGTAGCCTCTGGAAATTTGTTACAACTTGCTATGGAACATACCATGTTGAATAGCTAAAAATAATCTAAATCCATAGGCCATTCGGTCCAGTTCACAAACTGCTAGTCAGAACCAAAATGTTTCATAGATATATAATATATCATAGATGTACCATATATAATCATAGATATATCACTATAGATGATGTTTCTGATATTACCATTTTTGTTTTTCATTCCGTCATCTCGATCTTTGACAAACGATCATGGTTGTGAAGCCATGCTCTGAGTCCCCGGTCCGACATGTTGATCCAAACATACTTGGATGTGAAACCCAATTGGCAGGTGTTTCATGAGCATATGTGTACAGCCATAACCCAGTTATACACAAATACAATCAAATACATATAAACTATATTAAATTATACAAGCTCCACCCGGTTGCAAAAGCCGTACAAAAGAACGCAAAAGATCGTACCCTCCTTGACGGTACGGCCCCAACAGGCGGCCTTTTTGAAGGAATTGACCACCTGAATCGTTCGGTTCCACGTAGACGCTGATGGCTAAAATCTGTGGGGTTGTTGGGATCATTCCACATCATGTTGATTAAACATGGTTAAACACACGTACAAAAAGAACCACCAACATCCACCAACTAGAGACATGATGCTTTTCGTGTGCGACTCATCATCTATCATCGACTTTTGAGCCATAGAAAAACTGCAGATATTTATGGAGATTTACTAAGTCATGGGGCCATGGGGGTACCTCCAAATCATTCAGTCCTCATGAGTGACCATGACTTAAATATTGAAACCTATGGTGACTTGGGATAGCCCCCCCATGACTTAGGACACCTCCATTTCTGATGATCCTGGGATGATATTCTACCCGTAAATGCTGCCATGGAAGCTACAGGCGTACAAGAGAGACCACCATGTTTAATCGAAGGCTTTGGGGTCCGCATATAGAGTTGTAGCATCAATATTGATATGTAAGAATTTAACCTTTGTCAATATCATCGTGATCATTGTAAGTTTGATTATCATTATCATTATCAGTGTAGTACTATACTACCATACATTGATAGGGGGTTTATGAAATCGAGAATACCCAAGTCACTATGGTTGTTTCAATACTAAGTCATGGTCATTCATGACGACTGGATGATCTGGGGGCCCTATGACTTAGGAAACCTCCATACTGCTTTATAAAATCAAAACCCGATATACTGTAATGATAGTAACACTAGTCCCTTGTATATTATTATGATGATTGACGATTGTTGTTATGCTTATGATGATTGACGATTATTGTTATTATCATTGTAAATCATTCTATGTAATATCATTTGATTTGCTTAAGGCACTCCCACAATGGCAAACACAATACCCACGAGGTGGATCTGTTTGATTCGATCAATGTCTATTTTTTTGACGTTTGATTCCATATGTTTGTTGTCAAAACTAAACATCCTGTTTGATTCTGGTATCTTAAATCCTCTAATGTTTGATGGTTGAACATAACTTTTGATCGTTGAGCTTCTTTTGTGTAAACTCAAGCTGCATTTCTGTTGGTTATATACATTCCTGCTTCCGTTGGCCAAATCCACATGACACTGTGGATGGTTGCGAAATCCTGCACCAGTTCATAGATGGTAAACATCCCCTTATTTACAGGCTTTCAACCATCCTTTTCGTGGTGCAGGATTTCGCAACCATCCAAATGATAGGCAAATCCAATAAGGTCTTCCATCAGATGAGTTTCGCACCACTGCAGTGCCCACGGGGTTTGCCATAGCACTCTCCTGGGACGTGGTGGCTCTAGAAGGGTTAATCCACTTGTTGCCCGGGGGTTATGAGTTATAAACCTACTTTCTAAGTGGGATGACCTACTGCAGTCTATATATATATATATGATTATATATGATAATAATGAAATTATTCGTATATGCCATGGATTTAACAAACCAAGATGGCGGTTTCACCAGCACAAAGGGTGCCGGGTTGTTGAATTCTTTGCTGTGCACGGCAGTGAACGTGCTTCCCTGAGGTTGATCAGGAGGATTCCTGCTCCACCTTTTGAAATTTCATATGTGCAATCGTTAAGTTGTCTTTTTCCATGTGTTGAGAATGGTGAAACATGTTTTCTTTTTATTTGGTGGAGCTGCGGCCTGGTTTTTTTAACATGTGTTCAGACACTGGCATGGCCAAACGTTATTCCCTTAGCATCACTGTTTTAAATGGCCACCTAACTTCAAGCGCTTACTTTTTTTCTTGCCGCCTCATGCACATGATATTTCATGATATGTCCATCTATTTCCTGAAAGAAGTGCGGAGAGGCACAAGAGAATTGACGGTCCGTTGTCGAATCGATTCGGTCAGTTGAGTTGATCTTCCACAGCTCTGGCCCTGTGTGGAGATTTCCCTCTACCCTGCATGGGGAGTGTGGGGGACGGCTCGTGTGAAAGTTCATCTTGGCGTTGGGAACCTCGGGTGAACCCTTTAAGGAAGCTTTGCTTCGGCAGCCTTCTCTCGTGCAGCAGAGGCCCAAGAATCTCAGGGCGGCCACACACCTTTTCGGGTATTCTATGATTTGGTGGTGGCACAACCAAACCGCATTCCCTCCGGTATTCCACTTTTCAAAATATGAGTTTATTGCATTGCGTACTTTCCGTTTTTGTCACCGTTGGGGGTCACTATGACAGTTTGCATTATGATCATTATGTCGCATGCCTGCCGTCGACCTACAGTACCATACATTGCATGATTACAGCGCATTGCATGACGTAGTATTGCATTACTACTTTGCATACCCTGTGGTAACCTAACATAACTATGGAAAATCACCACCTATAATAGGTAAATCAACTATAAATGGGCTATGCTCAATAGCCATGTTAGTTTACCGGACTGCCTCCACAAAAGGTTAATTTCACCCGCAAAATACGACTAATTTTGAAGGGACCAAGAGTGTGAGGTGATTTAACCGAGTAAAAGTGGATTGGATAGTACTAAACATGACCAATCATATTAGTTTGTGACAATGGGGGCACCCTCAATTCCAAAGGATTGAGACCGAGGTTCTCCTGTTTGAAATGCCAGATATTGAGTATAATATTATGATATATTATATATATCCATTTTGGGACCAATCCATATTTTTGAAATCCCAATTGTTGACGATTGAAGATGAGGAAATCGCCACTCTCGCTGGTCGAAGTTCCATTGTTTAATGGTTAAATTGCTGCTTACAAAATGAACCATGAAGTTTAACCATTAAACAATGGCGATCTCATGTTGATTAAAAACGAATCACATTAAGTTTGTTGTCACAATCCATGCTGATCCCATTGTGTGACGCGAAAAACATCACCACGTCGAACACTCGCAATCGCTGCGAAAAAAAATCACCCTTTCTTGCAGCATCTTCCCAGCGTTTTTTCTTAGACCTAATCCCACTTGTTTCCTTGTTTCATGGTTCAATCACAAGTTTTTCCACAGTTTTAAATCACGTATATTTCTTGGTTACATCACAGTTTTGTTGATGGTTACATCCACATGTTTCTTCAATCACCATCTTTGATGGTTAAATCACCATCTTTAATGGTTAAATTCGGCTAAATCCACATGTTCCTTAGTGAAATCATTTGAAATCCACATGTTTCTTGGTTCAATCACCTGATAGTCAATCTCAATTTTTCAATGGTTAAATCACATTAAATCACATTTTGTTAATGGTTCAATCAGCATTTTTCCTGGTGAACAAAAAGGTTTCGTTGCTTCCCCACATCGACCTGTGGCCCCGTGACGACATCGGGGCGCCGCACAAAGAGGCGACTGGAGACCTCGTACGCCTTGCCACGCGACAGCAGCGGGACGCCTTCGGAGAGGACCTGCAGGCGCTCGTTCTCGGCGTCCATCGGTTGGGACAATGGGATGGGAGTCACCAGAGATGGTTTTTTCACCTGAAACATGGGGATGCAAGGTGGCATCAAAGGATTCCGATACCAAGCCATGTGGATCACTCGGCCAAATCTAACGCTTCACCAAGAGTGCTGCGCTTCACCCGTCCACCCTAACGCTCTCTGGCGCCATTGCGAACCAAAAGGCGTTCACCCTTGAACCTTCTCCAAACATCTGTAGTGCAGTTTTGCAGCTACAACTCCTGCTGGCGCTGCTGGCTCTGCTGGCGGGCAATGAGGAACATCAGGTCGTCCTTCGAAAGTCGTCCTGCTTTCTGTATCAAGCGTTTTTATTTCTTGGACTCTGACTTCAAAGTGCGAGACACCAGTTTCAGAGACCGCTTCAACTCTGCGCGTTTCTCCTTCAGCTCTTCCAGAAGCAACACTGGGCGCTCTTCCGCAGGTCGCGAAGCAGCAGCGGCCATGTCAGTAGCGGTCTCGTGATCAGCCGCCATGTCTGGGTTGAAAAATGGGCAAAGTGCTGGGTTCATGGTCATTTATAGGATTGAGTCACCTGAAAAATGGGGAAAGTGCTGGTTTGTTGGGGATTTGAAGGGGATTTGCATGGGTTAATTGCCAAGAATATTGGAGAACGTCTGATTTTTAATGGAATTTTCATCAAAAAATGCAAACAAATGGAGTTTAATGGGGCTATGATGGGAATTTACCAAAAAGAAATGGCCCATCCCAGGTTGACTGTTGGGTGTATGGTGAATACAATGATGATGAGATTGATATTTGAACCAACTGAGAACTTGGGCACATTTTTTTGATGGTTGATCAACCATTAGATCCCAACATATGCTGAACATGTACCCGTATTAGTAGCCAGTATCTATACATAATAGTGTTGTTGAAGACCAAATGCGGCGAGATGGCTTCAGACGCACACCTTTTCACCTGCAAACGTAGCAAGTAATGGCTTAGGCCTGGGAATTGAGCCAGGCCGGCGGAAACAAACATGTCCAGGATGCTCAGGCAGATTCCAATCAATGCTCAATCATGACTTTCACAGCTGGTTATATTCTTTTGTTGATTGGAATCGCCCAAGAAGCATGATATGAGGATATCTGCACGGTCGCCTAGCAAGGCCTGAAAACTCTTCAAACTGGCTAGTTCTACTCGGTCTTCCAACTTCCTCCAAAAGGCTCGACCTTCTCCATCAGTGAATCGTCCGTACGAAGATCTCCTAGGAAACTGTACAGGGTCAAAACGAGGCTTTGGGGATCTATAAGACTTTGCATCTTTGGCGACGTGCACACCAAAATCATCAAATGTGTGCCATCCTGGCTGCTCGCTCAAAATGAGCAAATGTCCAAACATTGGGTCATCGCTTTCCAGCGGTTGACCAATTGGGCTTGAAGGCACAGGAGCGCATGCATTCTTTACAGACTTCAAAGGTTTCGCTCCCTGCCGTGTATAATTCTGGCTGTACTTGAAACACCATCTACCGGTCTCTAAGACATTTCTCAGATATTCACCATCCATTTCCTTCGTGCCGCAGTCAATGAGCATGTTCTGGGTTGCCGTCCATTTGATTTCCACATTTGGTCGGCGCAGCTGAGATCTAATCCAGGAAATCGTAAACGCAAGGCTCTTCTGGCTTCCATAGCTTGGCGTGTCACTTGTGCTTTTGTCGTACACATCCTTTGCGTCCACAATCAGGATCATCGGGATCACATTGTTGCTGGCCTCCACATTGCGCCTGTCGACGCTGTAGCCACGCGTCTCAGCAAACATACCTCTACAAAATTCCCCTGAGTCCAAGGCTTCCTCCGCCAACATGAGCTCTGCTGCAAACGTAGAGCGACACACCCTTGCCAGCCTATGACTCCGCGAGTCAATCAAGCAAAAGTTGCCCTCTTTGCCCGCCAGCACGTTCTCATCCGCAATCAAGATGGCGTAAGCCGCTTGGCTATGCACCCGAGAAAGAGCATCTTCCCCAATGCTGCCATCTGGAGAAACGTTGCCCAATGCCGCATCAGAAACTGTGACCAGGCCACACTTGTCCAGGTCCATGGGCTTGAAGTTCAGGGAAAACTTAGAACTTGCTTTTACCTTCTTAACCAAACTGTTTGCTTTCAACATCGTAGCAACAACAGGCTTTTCAGACTGGAGTGTTGACAACGAAAAACCTTGATCAAACCTCAATTGGGAAACCAACCATTGTAAGCTCCCAAGCAGTCCTCGAAGCTGACGGTGCTCAGCTGGGGTCAGAGGTTGATCGAGCTGTTTCTTTCGCTCACCAGTCATGGGGATCTGCTTCAGGTTCTCGTGGTATTCCACCATGTTCACTTTGATTGAGAAGTCAGCGGACTGCTGGATTCGTTTGCCACAATAGTTGAAAGAACCGGTCTCCAGCGATCCAAAACCTAACTCTCGTCCAAGTTGCAAAAGTGATTCATGGGCTCGTGCATTTCCACCCATCAGCAAATCATCTACATGTGAAATCAGCATGCCATCTAACGTTCCATCATCACTCCAAAGAAACCAAAGTGCTGCATCCAGCTCTGATCTCACCCATCCCAACTTGGTCACGGACTTGTTCAGTCGCAGGTACCACCTGCGAGGCGAATCTGCCAAACCAAATATGCCCTTTTTGGCTCTTGCAAGTCCACCTTCACCAAGAGGAAGAAGAGGTTCATCAGGAGAGGATACCCTGATCTGGCTCACATACAGCTCTCGTTCGTCAGGACCAAAATTTTCACCTTTCAAGAAAGCGCTCTTGACATCTGCACTGTAGAGCAACCAACGCTTGCTGGCCGTGTACATGAGGAGAAAATGCTGGGAGGTCCTACTGCCAGTTGGAGCATCTCTTCGAACCAGATACGCTGTGATGTCCCTGAAGCCCGGAACGACTAATCGTGCATTCGCCTTCAGCGGAAGGGGCTTTGAAGGAGTGCGCAAACCGTCATGCTTGTCTGTGTAAACAAACCTTGGGGTCAACATGCATGACTGCTTGCCAGTTGACTTCAAACGCGCACGAACTTCATCAGCTTGAGCTTTTGAAAGAACTTCCACGGCACCATTGTCTACCCAAACTTGCCATCCGGCTTTGGCTGCAGCATGGAAAGCAGGACGGTCAGCTTTTGGAATGTCCTTCCATTTGTACTCCTTTCTCGCAGTTTGCACAGCATCAACTTCATGGCTGCCTCGGGGCTACAAAAGTCCATGGTGACGCCGGGCATTCCACTCAGACCTTGAAGGCAGTGGCCAAATTCCATGCCAAGTGCCGTTGTCATGAACCACATGCTCTAAAGGAGACTGTCTCTCACGTTCAGCTTGTTCTTGAAGAAGCTTCAGTGGATGTTCACCTTGGTTCAACACTGATGTCAACAAGGCGTCATAGGGCGCCGCCGCTTCAGGTGCAACAGGGCCAGCTCTAACCCTTGTTTCAAACGCAGGTTGATTGTCCTGCAACTCTTCAACCTGTACATCTGGAGGTCTCTTTCGGGAAGCTTCGGGTCCAACATCCTCTGGGTCAGCTTCAGCAAGTCTTCCAACGGCTTCAGCCATCCTTGAAGACATAGAACCACCACGCACCAAATCACCAATGGGGGTGCCGGGTGCAGGTGTTCCACGCTGAACCGGCATGCTCAGCAAACTAGTCCTGCGGGACAAGTCAGCTTGGCCCTGACTGGCAGGCTGCAAGGCATTGGCAATCTCCTGAGGAGTCAGCGGCTGAGCAACAACCGCAGGTTCCAAAACAGCAGGTTGGATTGGCGCTGAAGCGGGTGTGCTTGGCGCTTCAGCTTGAGGTCTTCCTCCAGGAGTTCGAGCACCATCTGCAGTTTTATCATCCATACCATGCAAGGTCATGTCATGAATTGCAGCTTCAACCACTTCCTTCACAGCATCGCCCCAAACCTCAGATGCTATCTGCTCCATGGTTGAGGCTGGGCGTATGTGCTCACGGGCCACCTTGGTGAGTTGACCTCGATGACTGATGAAGGCATTCAAATGACCTTCCATCGCCACAAGCAAACCAGGTCCATGCCATCTTTTCAAACTAAGTTTTCGTTTGGATTGACTGGTCTTGTTGTTGTACTTGGTGTGGCGAAAATAATAAACAATCATCCCAGGAGTCAGCTCTTGCTCGAAGGTGGGCCCTCTGCTTCGGGCAACTTCGGCACGTTGAATGCCTTTGGAAAAATGCAAGCGAACCATTGCCAGCTTTGCAGTTTCTCGCATAGCCACTTGGCGCGCCAGTCCAGGTCGCTCTTCCAAAATGCCGTGGCTCACAACCCTATGAACAAAATTGCCCAAAACGTCGCCTTCATAGCGGGGCTGTTTGCCAATTGCAGCTTGTGCGGGACTCACACCGCTATCGCCAGAAACGTCGCTGTTGTAGGCCATCACCGCTTCCTGCACGGATTTGTCCACCTCCTCGGGGCCCAAAAGAGAGTGTGCACGGATGACTGCGGTGGCCAAGGCTTTTAACACTCCACCACCACGCTCACAAACACCATTTTGCCACGGTGCCTGAACCGCGCAATGCCAAAGCAAAATTCCATGTCGGGCACATAGTTCTTCGAAGATCCAAGACGTGAATTCCTTGCCTTGGTCTGCAATCATCACTCTTGGAGGCCCAAAAATTGGCAGCCAACGCGAAGAAAGAAATTCCACTACTGAGTCACTGGATTTGTCCGGCAAGACCTGTGCCATCTGGAAACGACTCACAAAATCAATGGCGTGAGCCACATAGAACCGATTGTCATGTATATCAAACAGTTCAAACAAATCCACATGCACTTGATCTCCAACATCTTTGGGTGCCGGCAAACTTGCAGGACGCTGAGCTTTGGGTCTCTTTCGCTCAGCACATATGGAACACTTCAAGGTTTTGGCGGCCTGTACAACTTCTGCTGGAGCACCAGCAATCACCAGCGCCCTTGCGAGACGGCGGTTTGACCTGTGCCCCGTATTGGTATGGAGGCGGCTCACAGCTTGCCTAACAGCTGCAGAAACTTTTGGAGCGCCAGCTGCAGTGACCTGTTCATCATCAGAACTGTCGGAAACGTTCACTGCATCAGGCACAAGTTCAGGTTCTTCTCCATTTTCATCAGCATCATCAACTGCCAAAACGTCATTGCTTCGCATCGAAACATCAAACTCTTCCTCAATGCCCAGCACAATCTCTTTGGCTAATTGCGCTGGATAGTGACCGGCAGGTCCTGTGATATGCTTGCCCCCAATGATCATCTCATGGTCATGGTCTCTGAGGCAACGTTTTCCATCCAAACGCTTGGCAACACATGGAGAGCTTGTTTCAATGCGGGTGGTCTTTCGGTGCAAAAGTCCAGATTGCCCTCGTAAACCAAAACGACATTGATCGAAAATTGCTGTATGGCTGTCGATCTCCTCCAGGAAACGTATCAGCATGTCCAAATTCCATGCTTCAGAAGTTCCAGGATTTTCCAAAAGAAAATGTCGCCCATTTTTGGCTTGCAGGCGCGCCACATCAAGCGCAAATTGGATCAGCACACGGCCTTCTGCCCTCAGCTGCTCCAAGTTCTTGCTAGGGTTGAGACGCATCAAGGCACTCCAGGGGCCACAAGGAAATGCAAGAACAACCAAAAATGGCTTCTCTTTCTCAATTTGTTTCAAAGCAGCTTTTCGATCCAAAACATTGAGAAAATTCCATCCCGTTTCCAAACTCATGGGTGTGCCTGTGAGATGTCCACGTCGTTGAGCTTGTTTGATCACCTGCTGCACGGTTGTGAAGACTTCGGTCAAAAGAGGCGCACCATTTGTGGCAGCAGGTTCCAAAGTCAAACTCATGGCAAACGTTTCATTGAGGTTCTTCTGCATCTCACGCTCCCACTCATCATGGAAAGCTTCATTGATTTCAGAGGCAGATTGGGAAACAAGTTTGCGTTCCCTTTCATGTCTTGCCCATGCTTGCGCAACCAACTGCGCTTGACCTGCCTTCAGCTGGTCCCCATTCAAAGTCCAAGGGGAAAGTCCATCACCAGCAGCCTGGGACTTCCGGTCACCCCGAAAATCCAAAGGGGCAAATCCAAGACCGGTTGACTTCAGCCTCACCTGATTCGAAGTCCATTGTTCAGGTGGAGAGTCCAAAGCTGAGTCATTCAAGGATCGTCCAGATTGGGCTTCACCAAATCCAAATCGTCCCCAGGCAGGCTTCCATGAATGGCGATGAAATTTTCCTCCTCCAGCTCCCTCTGATGGAGGCCGTTGATCTCCCAAAGTTCCTCCTCCGTGGGCATCTGTTGTGCCATCGGAGCATCGGCTTGTTCGCCTCGTTGCAGGCGATCTTGTTGCATCAAAAGGTTCACGAACTGGTGCACTTCGGTCATGTTCCCAGTTCCACCCTGCATGCCGATGAAATACTGCATGGCTTGAGTCATCATGCCCTGAAAGCGAGCTTCTTGTTCTTGCATCAACTGATGAACTTCGGCCATGTCCATCCTTGCCACAGGCTCCTGACTGCTCGAGGGTCCCGACGGTAAGGACTTCGGCGGAATGGTCTGCACAGGCGGTGCACTGCTTGGCAAGGCTTTTGCCTTTGCTGGAGCTGACTTTGGTGCTGGCTTCAGAGCTATGGCTTCCACCAATGGCTTTACCTTGGCTCGCAACTTCTCCACTGTGTCGTCCTGGCCTACTTCGACGTTGACCAGGCAAGCCAGCTTCACCAAATCTGCTTTCAGCGCTGGAAGTCCACCACGCGGTCCGATCAGCTGACGGACAGCCTCTTGTTGTTTGCCTTCGGCCTTGTTCTTCTTGGCCTCTTGTTTCCAATCCTCCAAAGCTTGAGCTCGGATTCGAGCTGCCATGCCCTTTGTGGTTTTGGCGGCCAAGATGCCTTGTAGAAGAGGATCTTCCAGGAAAGCAAGCTCCAGGCCCATGCGATTCCGAAGACTGACGCAGTGTTGCAAATTGGCACTGCTCAGCACCTTGCCCCTCATGGCTTTGACACCATGCTTCCTTGCCAGTGATTTGTTGGCCATCATCTCTTCCACCTGATTCTCCCACCCAAGGGCATCGCTCACACGTGGATATGGAAGTGGGGCAAATCGAATTTGTGGCAACTGCAATAGCGACAAAAGCACCCCACGCAGATGCCATTCTGCGCGGCATCGCATTCGCAGCACGAATCTTCGCCACCTTCCTGCCCATGTTGGATAGTTTGCTGGGTCCATCCAAAGTTGAAGGGGTAGGCAAAGAAGGAGTCGTTGTAGCACTCACCACGGCAGAATCCACAGACTGCTGCCCATTCGCAAGTGAGTCGCTGCTGGAAATGTTTTGAGCCGCAGTTGCAAAAATAGGTAAACCTGAAAACTTGACATCTGCAGCTTGAACTCCTTGTTCAGTGATCAAATGCTCATGACTTGAAACCTTTGATGACAATGCTGAAACAGACACGGCAGCTAGTTTGCGCTGGAACCACTCGTGTGCAGTCAACTGCAATTCCAAAATACCACATTTTCCAAGCCTTCTCCAACGTTTCTGCAGAGGCTGCGGCCACTCTTGAGGAATGAGCTGCAGTGCAAAATGTCCTGCAGTGAGCTGTTTCAGATTGATGATCTTGCCATCCAAATGGTCGGCTCGCATTTGACGCTTCGAAAAACTGATCACCGCCCCAATGCTATCCAAAAAGTCTCTTCCCAAAAGCAACCCTAAACTTGGAACTTCAACAACTGAAACCCATGTCAAAACCAAATAGTCACCAACCACCATTGGAAGCCTGTGACGAACCTGGCTCCTTTGGGTTCCACCATTTCCAAATCGGAAGAGCTCGTCTTCCTGCACAGTCGCACGAAGATCACGAAGACATTTTGGAGCATGTTTCAAAGCTGCTAAATAGTGCTGCAACCAAACATTTCCTGAACACGTTCTGTTGCAAGCTGAATCCAAAGCACCAACCATCATTTTGTCATTCGCCAGCGAGGGCACGATTGCCGCTGCAACTTCATGATGCAAGGCAGCCTCCAAGGATCTCTTCCTGAGGTCTTGTTGGCAAACTAAAATTTCATGTGCTTCTCCCGGACCAGCTTCAACATGTTCTGTGTTCATGGATTCCATCACTTTCACATGCTTGGCAGGCGGCTTCCTTGCAGATGCTTTCGGCTTCGCAAGTCCTTGTCCAGGTTTCAAACATTGTTGGTCACCTGCCCAGTGTCCTGTTTCTCCGCAATCCCAACAAACTGTCTTGCCTTTCTTGGCGGTGATTTGGTTGCCAGAGGGCTTTCCTTTTCCACCAGACTTTCCAAAACCACGGTCACGCTTGATCTCGTTGATCTTCGTCTTTGCCTCCCTCATTGTAAGAAGGCTTTCAGCAGCCTGTTCAACACCAGCTTCAATTTCCTCCAAAAGTTGAGGATCCAGCGAACCATCTTCCTCAAGCTCTTGGATGTCCACTGCAAGCGCTTCTGCTTCGGCTTGAAGCACCTCAGCTAAAGAACCAGAAACTTCGGCATCTTCTCCATCCGGAATCAGCTCATCATCATCAGCGGCTTCTTCATCTTCATCACATTGTCCCTCAGCAACCAAGGCTTGCCGGGGTTGACCACCAAAAGGACGCCTCTGATGATTCTGTCTCTGAGAATTCCATGAGGAAACTGCCGACCTCACGGTGCGACCAGAGCTATAGCTTGAAGGAGCTGCAGACTGCCGGGTAGAAGAAGATGAGGAAGCTTGGGACTGAGACAAAAAGCGCTGCAGCAAAGGGGGTCTTTCAAACTGCTTCTTGTTCAAGGGGTCAGAAGTGTGGATATCCCTAAATAAACGCAAAGCTTCAGCTTCGACATCATCGTAACCATCACGGCCTGCAAGTGCTGTTTCAAGAAGCTGGGACCTGATGGCGTCAAGTCCAAGCCTGTCTCTCAAAAACCAAACAAGCTCACCTGAAGGTAAGTTGATACCTTCACGTTTCATTTCGGCCGTCAAGGTTCTGTACCTGGTGCAGAATGATGATATGCGTTCTCCAGGGTTTCTGCGAATCTCCTGATAAAACTGTTTTCTCAGTTCTCCCTTTCGGTCAAGTTCCGTTCTGCCCATACTTTCTTCCAAAGCCTTGAGCGGCTTTTTGATTCCAGCAAAAGGATCGGCTTCTTTGAGGACTCGTTTCTCACCAGTCTGAGGGTCGGTGGAAACAACTTCGGCGGCTCCTGCAAGGTCGTCAGGATCAAATTCTTCACATCTGGCTCGAACAACTCCAACCTGACGTAGAGTCCACCTTGCAGCCACGTTAAACTTTCGGCATGCCTCTGGATCTAAACTGGCAATCCACCAGCCCATCTCACGTTTGAAACTCCTCCACTCTTGAGGGTTCCCATTCCAAGTCGGCACCTTGTATCAGCTCGATGTCCCTTTCTCATCTTCAGCCATGGCCAAAATGGCCTAAAACGCAAAAGGCTCCCAAACAGGGAAAAACTCAAAAGCTTGTTGGGCTCGTTCAGCACCTTCGCAGAAGGGTCTGGCCTAGCTGCCAGTGAACAAAGTCCAAAGTGGTGTCCGTTCAGCACCTTTGCAAAAAGGCTGGCCTAGTTACCAGCAACAAATTCCAAACTCACCACCTCAAAAATGACTTAGCCAGAAAATGAAAGTGGAAGTTCAGGAGGACCACAGTCTTACCCTCGAAGTTCGTTGCCAGCAGGATAAAGCGATCACCCTACACAAACTCAAAGGGATAGGACTCGGCCAGCAGCGAGATCCAAGCGAGGCAATGCAATAGCGAAGCAAGCGCAGGCACAGATCGTTGCTCAGGCTCCGGTGCCACTGTTGAAGACCAAATGCGGCGAGATGGCTTCAGACGCACACCTTTTCACCTGCAAACGTAGCAAGTAATGGCTTAGGCCTGGGAATTGAGCCAGGCCGGCGGAAACAAACATGTCCAGGATGCTCAGGCAGATTCCAATCAATGCTCAATCATGACTTTCACAAGTGTATATGTAGGGGTATGACCTGATGGGATATCTGCAGAACTACTCACACTGGAATATAATGATTGATCATCAAAACAGAGGGACATCAATTTGGACTGCAGAAAAAACAAAATTGCTTTACTTCGTGTAAACCCCACCATGACATTTATCCATTTTGTTACTGGCAAATCTTCTGGCATTCTATCTGACATATCTCCTGGCATTCTATCTGAAATTCTATCTGGCATATCTTCTGGCATTCTACCTGGCATATCTTCTGGCATATCTTCTGGCATTCGATCTGGCATTCTACCTGGCATATCTTCTGGCATTCTATCTGGCCGTTGAGGTCCAGCGGTGCACACTGAGCTGGGCAGGTCCCAGGTCGAGGTCCAGCAGTGCACACTGAGCTGGGAAGGTCCCAGGTTGAGGTCCAGCGGTGCACACTGAGCTGGGCAGGTCCCAGGCCCAGCGGTGCACACTGAGCTGGGAAGGTCCCAGGTTGAGGTCCAGCGGTGCCCACTGAGCTGGGAAGGTCCCAGGTTGAGGTCCAGCGGTGCACACTGAGCTCGGACGTTGGCGAAGAGAGTTGGCAAAGAGGTTGGCGAATAGTTGGCAAGGCGGAAGTGGAGGTGGAAGTTGATGCAGACATGGTCGAGGAGAAACTAGAGGGGGAGGAGGAGGAGAACAGCTCTGATAAAATCTAACAACCCTCACCTGGGTCCAACCGCTGGACCTCAACCTGGGACCTGCCCAGCACAGTGTGCACCGCTGGACCTCAACCTGGGATTTGCCCAGCGCAGTGTGCACCGCTGGACCTCAACCGGGGACCTCCCCAGCTCAGTGTGCACTGCTGGACCTCAACGGCCAGATAGAATGCCAGAAGATATGCCAGATAGAATGTCAGATGGAATGTCAGAAGAT